AAATCAAACAACTAGTGATAGGAAAGACTGATACTTTTTGAACTGGGAGTTAATCTCCATTTTGTTTCCAGAAAGAGACTGCATGTGGAGGAAGATTAAAAGTAGAGCTTTTAATCTAGAGACTTTATGATAGAAATTACTAAATGCCATGGCAGTCTAAAGGAATGAAGACAATTTTCTAACTAGACACCAAGAAAAAGAAATCTCAGTTCCTCCACTGACCATTTGAATAAGCAGACAGGAATCAGTAGAATCTGCATCTGTAGAATTCTGTTTTTAAATTACTAAACCTGTATAACTAATTTTAAATTATTTAATGCCAAACTATTAAATTCAGTGATCAGTTCTGATACAGTAATGCTTTCCTGAATACTGAGATCTTAAAAAAAATTACACTTTTAATTTAAAAACGTTTACGGAGTCCTCATCTAAATCAGTGCTTTCCATACAAACAAAACCATAGGTAATTTGAGAGAAATTCCATTTAGAGAAAATATTAGAAAAACAGAATTCAGGATCCTTACTGCAGTAAATTACAGATAAATATTTTTAAAGCTTAGACTATAGTAGTGTAAATATTTTTGAGTATTGTATCTAAGTATGTGTTGTAAATTGTGAGTTACTTGAAAGTTGGCATGTGAACAATTATTTCTTAGCAAACATGAAAAAAATCAAACTAGAAATAACTGTATCAATTCAACAAAGACTAAACTTTCTTCTTTTCTGTTAACAGGCATTTCTTATCTGAAGTAACTTGGGCAGGGAACATGAAGACATATATAATTCCCTAGGGGTGTTTTGTATCAGAAGTTATATTCAGCCAAGGGAAAACACTGGCTGATGTAAACCACTAAATATACATTTAAACGCCACAGCTGAAGCTTTTAAAAGGGTAAGAAAGCTACCTGTACCAAGTATTTTGGTCAGTATGTTAATGGGAAGATTTAATAGCAACAAGACACAAAATATGTCTTGGATGACTGATCATGAAAACCTACAAGTACTTGCAGCCTTCTACTGGTGCTGGTGCACACGTTACTTTCAACGGGTTAAGAGAAAAACACATCCTGCACTCAGAAAGTGGAAAGAAATTATGATGTAACTTAAATATAGAGTCATATATATCTCAAGTATGTATATCCCCCAGCAGCAATACCTTGCAAGGCATTCTGCACTTAGAACAAGATCTGTAAGAGTTAATTGTCATGGTAAGTCCTTAAACCTCTCTTCTTTCCAAAGATGAAGTGCCCAAACATCTTCCAGCAGATCAGTGGAAGAATTTCTACAAGTGATGAAAGATTTAGCACAAACTTGAAAACCCCAAGTAGAAATAATTCTGTTGCCTCAAAGAGCTACTTGAAAACCAAGAAATTATTTTAAAGATTTTTGAAGATAATTATTTTATTTTAAAGATTTAAGAGACTTTAAATTAGGTCCCCTAGTTAACTGGTTCCAAATAATACCAAACCAAAATGATACACAACACAAATAAAAGAGTAAACCATCACTGAAAACATTCAGAAATATTATTCAATTCAAAATTATTTAAAAACACATGGTTTTACAGTTTAACTTAAAGTATAAGTTTCAGGTGTTTAATAATCTTTGATCATTGCTAGTCAATGCAGTATACATCAACGTAAGTAATACCCTCTGCTGTGAAAAGTAGAAAATAGGTCATGAGTTTCATACTCACTTTTCAAATGAGTAAATCTCAGGAACACACTGATAAAGCAGTGGCTACAAGGGTCAGCTATATTTGATGAGACAACTAACACAACTTGTCTAAATACATTCCTACTGCCAAAATAAGCACAGTTATCCCCAGTTGCTAACCATACTAGTTACTGTCTTCATTTTAGAGCTGAAGTACTGTAAAACATTTATGGCATGCAGTATTTTGCAGTATAAATACCATTGTGCTACTAATGTTGTTTGAGGAAGAAGCAAAGATAAAATTAAAAATCTGTATGGTGTGACAAAAGTTACAAAAAAAGGGTGAAAGCTGTTAATAAGACCTCTTCCATGAAACAGGTCAGAGGTTTTTTTTGATATCTGTATGTCATAAACAAACAGATTTCTGGTCATTAAGTCTGAATCGCTGTAATAATGCCACAAGTGTAGGGTTTTTTTAATGAAAAAGGGTACCATTCCATACACTGATCTCAAGAACCGTGATTGTGCTTTTCTAATTGTTTTTAACGATCTGAAAAGCTGAACTTTTAATGCAGTTGAACTTTCAATATTTGTAAAATTTCCAGACTTGCACAAGACAGTTTCTTCTTTGTTCTGGAAGCAATAGAAGGTAACACAGAAAAAACTTATATTTTATCACTAAAAGCTGTATTACCTCCATATATTCAAACTAGAACTTTTTCACTATTTTTTCTCCACGTGCCTTCTTTTCTGCAATCACACCATTAGATTAACTATAAGTCACTGAAAGGATTTTTTTTTTTTTTTAATGAAGAAAAATAAATATACTCCAAGTTCAGTTTTAGAAAGGCTGAGTGACCTAAGCAAAATGAGCCCCCCTCTCATTTCTGAAAACTTCAGACTGCTTGTTTCAATACTCTGTAAAACACATAAACCTACAAGGATTCATAAATATGGCTTCTAACTCTTTGGAAAATCTATTCAGAAGTCTCAAACTAACTTAAATACCTAGACTCGAGACTAAAAGAGATGACACGTTACAGTCCCTCTGAATTTCTTGCTCCACGATGCCCCCTACTGCAAATCTGCAGAACAAACTCGGAGCAGGCATTTCCCAAACACAACCGTGCAGGAAAATTACTCCACTCAGAGTCACCCTGGATGCATAAATAGTGTATTTCAGTTTAATGGTTGGAAAAAAAAAAGATTAAAAATATGAAAAGAATTTTTAAAGCCATTTCATCAATGGTACTGAGTGCCATGGTAATCACGTGGAACGGAAAATAGCCTCTCCGTTTCAAACAAAGTCAAATGACGGAATTCTTTTTATCTTTGCTCCAAATATTCTAATGGCTCTAATCAAGAAAGTAGATATCTTGTAAAACAGATTTCTCTGGCATCTTGTTAGACCTGTGTATTTTTACAGAGTTCTCCCATAAATGGAAATACAGGACATAAGTAGCTTTCACTAAAAGAAATACTAAATGTCTTTTATTGCCACACAAAGTTTTAATGAAACACCTCTAACACAGAACAATCCTGAAGCACCATGTTCCCATTATATCTCATCCACCACATATATAAACTGATACCACAGGATTTCTTTCAAAAACTTTAGGACTGGAATAAAAAGAAGCAAGTTTAGCAGTAATCTGCTTTATTAAAATAATTTCTTTAGAAGAAAAAAAAAAAAATCAGCAATGAAAACAAATCCATTACCATCAAGCTGCTCTAGCTCACATTTCTACCCATAATTTTCTGTTTCTACTTCCATAATATTTAGACCATTTATCTTTGAAAGACAACAATTTTCTGAAAGGATTTATCCCACTATCAGTGTGCTATACAGGGGAAAAAAAAAATCCGACCAAAAACTTAGGCTATAATAGTGCTGATGCAGGGATGACCTTTTATGCTCACATGCACACACTTTTTCACATTAATGTACCTTTGAAGCTTGTTTAGGACCTACAGAATATATATTTTAGTGAAACACTTTAATTAAAGAAACATTCTTTTGACTGTAATAAAAAAAAGCAACAAAAACTTATTTGGAAGTGGTGACAAGTGAAGCAAATGTTTGCATGATTCTATCATAATTTTTACTGAAAAAAAAAATACCCTAGCAGTTACAGATGAAAACTATCTTAAGTTCCAAGTGACAGAGCTCCAAACTTTTGAAGTGCCTTCACAGGTCAGACCTCACGCTTTACAACTGGGACAACCATATGCCCACATTTGGCAAGACTGTTGTGGTAACTATAGCGTAAGGACTGTGAACCTTCAAAAAAGACTGAAATGAACCTGGCTAAGTACTGATAATGCAAGTTTAAAAGCTCACTGCTATGGTAGAATGATAGAAAAAATACTTCTTGAAAAAAATTATATGTCTATTAGGTAATCTAACAAAGCTGTAACAGTATACAGTAGAAATGTAATAGACCTCAATTAATTAAAAGACAGATTGTTACTGTACAGGGCAAGCCCAATCATTGGATGCATCTATTTCACAGTCTTCTAACCTATTTGCATCGATACTATGCAAAAAAAGTGTGCAAAGTGGTAGTGTTTTCCCAACTCAAATAGCTTCAGCCATTCAGATTCACACTCCTAACACTTTAGGATGCTCATGGCAGTTACCAAGAACTTTAACCACAGTCACAAACCAGTTCCTACAAACACCCTATAAAGTCAGTGGGAAACTGAGGAACTCCACAGCTGTCAAAGTGACCATTTAAAGCATTCTTCTGTGGCTGTTCCTACTGGTGAATAAACTTCATTGCTAGAAAAAAAGGACTAAGCTAAAACAGAGGGAATATTACCTTTCCTAAACTGAGAGTCCAGCTGACTGATTGTCATTGTTACTGCTACAATACAGGTTTTGACTCGAAGAATACTCTAGAATTGGCCACACAGAGGTACCAAACCTATGCATCCTTCACTATACCAGGAATTTGCTCCCAATTCCAGAGGGCCTCACATTTGAAAAACAAATGTTCTGAATTATTCAGAGTTCTTGCCATCAGAGTTAATGTAGTAGTTAAACATGTCACAGCTCTGGTTACACTTTGAGCAGAGGCGAGTAGCTCATCTTCAAACACCAGAAAACAAATTCCAAGTCGTAAAAAAGAAAATTCACTCAAGAGATCTGAATCTCTGCAACAGTTCCTTATTCTTTTGTTACGGAGAAATAGTTCTAGGTAGCCTTCATACCAAGATTTTTAATGAAAATCATGTAATTAAGCACAAATAATAAACTGTAGTTTGGCATCAAAAGATGTCAGTGACTTATGCCTTTAGGTGACTTACTATCACTAGCTTTTATGGCTAGCTTAAACACTTACCTACTAATTCCTTCATGGATATCATTCACAGCTGCCAACAGTTTCTGCAGACCTAAAAAAGCTTCTTCAAACGAAGACTTTGCAGTCATAGTTACTGTGTTGGGGCCCAACTTTTGGAAAATTTCAATACTAATATTAAAAAGAAACAAAGAAGAGTTGTTGAAGAACAGTTAATAAAAATCCTCGAAATTCAGAGAAACCCAGTATCTATTGTATGCACTGTATCTTGACTATTAAAAAAACCCCACAAGGTCAAGTGTAAATCCATACTAAAAACCATGTCAGGTAAAATAGCCTTAGAATAAATGGTAGAAAGACCATTCCATACAATTGTACTTTGCCATTTAAAATTTTCCTTGGCAACTATATTCTATGAAAGTATTTTGACTTTGAAGTAAGTTGATTTATCATTAAACTTCACTTGTGAACACAACAGTCTCTTCATGCACAATCTGAGTAAGCCTCTCTTAGAAGCTAATTGTTAGGTCAAAGAAGCAAAGTAAAGTATACTTTCCATCAATTTTCCAAGCAGTTTCACTTTCCAGATTTACTGGAATGTGCTTGACACCTCCCCTGCAATGGTTGTGTTGGGACAATGAGCTGCAGTGCACTCATGAAGAATTACCCCCACAGCCACAAGGTAAGTAGTATTTTCTTGACATGAGCAAGATGAGTGCAAAGTGACCTTTGATTCTTAAACTTCATCCTCTTTTCACAGCATGGTCCTTTATAGGTGGCAAGAGCCAACAGTTCTGTTGCATTTTCATTATAAAGTGGTACACCTGAAGGAGTCTTTCCTTGAGGCCTACATGAAACCTTCAAGTTCATGATTCCTATCCCAACACTGAGACTGTTCTCTGGTGCATATGCTCAGCTGATCTCAACACCACACCAAGCCAACTCCTAACCAGCTTCAATTCAGACTGATCTGCACTGGTATAAGACACAAGGAGTATGCTGGTGCATTATTATCATCATCATCACTGTTTATTAGGCAAGTCCTTAACAGACCACCAAAAGTGGAGTTCCTTTGTGCTTGACATAATTGAGTCTCTCCTTTGAAAAGATTTCAGATTAAGACTACAAAAAGAAAACACAGCTTCTATTTAGATTTTGTGATAGCATCCAAAAGAATGGTGTCTCAGTGACCTTCAAGCAGATGTTTCAAAAATAACTGAAATAACAACACTGGTAAAACATCTAGATGGAGAGGGGGCATAATTTCCTGCCATTATGAGTTTATATGAGAAAGGAAATTCATCACTAGATTCTGCATTTGAATTTTAGAGTGAATGATTTTGCTTAACATGAAAATATATTTCAGATTGATTAAAGGTTAAAAAAGTAAATAATATTGCATAAGCTAGTATACCTTCACGTGATTTGAAAAGAAAATAACCATATCAAAACTTAGAACTTGAATGCCTCTTTTTTATGGATAAAGATAGAGATTTCCATGGATGTCCAACATTTGTGGCTTGTACAGCATTTTCAACACTATTCTCTAAGGCAACGTATTTCAGCCACTGTACAGAAAAAGAGCAGTAGACTAGACAGGTCACTAACCGCATACACAGAACAATTTGCATGCTCCTAACTTCTTTGACTGACAAGTTGTATGATTTTTTTATTGTCAAATTTCATTAATTACTAATAGCTTCTTCTCTAAAATAGGGAAAAAAAGCAATTTTTAAAGTGCATTTGTTTGAAAATTATGTAAGAGTATGTAGTGTGAACTTCTTTAGCACACCATACCTGTACAAGTTTATTGTATTCCATACACCTTCAAGGACTGACCAGATTTCCTGGTGTCTGTTTTCCTGAGCTACGTGAAAGCTTGGATGTGGCTTTTTTTCTTCAGAGCTTTGCAGATTTGGTGTCATTGCTTCCATTTTTTCACACACAGCATTTTCTGAAAGAACCATGATGTCTTCTGATAAATCCTGCTCACTGTCTGACCTCACCTTATAAAACAGTTTAGCAAACAAATAATGAATGTATTTGGTTCCTAACTTAAAGTTGAACACTTCTTAATTTTTTTAAAAGCAATGCTCAAAAAAGCAAGGCCAGACTCTTCTAGTCATAACCACCTTTACTCTTGTCTCTGTCTCTAAAGCTTCTCTCAGTCTTTCTTCTATATGTATATTGGTATTTCTACAGAGGGGAAACTGAAGCAATGGGAAACCCTATGCCAAAGCTTTGCAGGCATGGTAAGCTGATATAAACGAGAACTGCTTCTTACTCTTACTCCCTATCCCATGACTGGATGGCACACCGTCCTCTGCAACAGCACAAAGTATTCATCTACTCATTTAGTAAAATGGTTCAGAAAAATGTGTCCAGGTTAAACTGAAACTGATCTGGCACAACCTGGGCTGTATAAGGGCAGTTCTCTGTGAAGTCAAACACCTGTCAGGACAAGGGCAGGAGAAAACAATTTTTCAGACAGAAAGGCTGCTTCTTATGGCAGCACCGTTCACAGAACTGTGGGCCAAGTGGCTGACGACAACACACAGAAGCTACAGCACAGTAGACAATGAAGACTCCCCAGATCATCTTTTTTCTCCTTGACCACCTTCTTCCTTCTCCTTTCAGCTTTCTCCAAAACTGAAAAGAATTTTTTCAGATATTCTGACCTGTATTCTTTCCCATATATAGAAATGCTTCAAGTTATCCATGCTCATTATTCCATTTTATGCCATTACATACAGTAACCACAAAGCAAGACACTGAAATTTTTTCCACAGCAACTCAAGAGATAAGCTGCAAGTAAAGACATACTTCTCAAAACACAAAAGGTGTCAAGACACCCCCCATTAATTATCACAAAGCATGATACAAGTGAGTCCTTTCTTCACATGTAGCACCAGAGCTACTAAGACAATGAAAGCTGAAACAGCACACCTAGGAATAGCAGTATTGGATCGATATCAGAAGTAGAAACAACAATTTGAATCTTTAAGACCCTTTTCAATCCGCTAAAAATGCAATAGAAAACTAAGATATTTTTCCTGAAAGCAGCTAAATGATGGTTTTCAATTACCATCCCAATACTAACACCTTTATATTAGGGGAATTAAAAAAAGTCTACCAAGCACATACATAAGTGCACAAATTTACTACATGAAAATAAAAGTTAAATTTGACATCTATTAATTTTGAAAACCCTCTAGCAACAACATTTACAGCAATAATTTGTTGAATTTATTGAGAACAATTTATAAATATAAGCCAAATTTTTAATATGAACATGGAGCAACTTCAAGATGATGTTAGGTGAACAAATACTAAAGCTCCCCTTACCTCTGTAAATGTTTGGTATAGCTTATTCACTTCAGCATAAGCCTGAGGAAGTACACCATTATAGTCTGACCTTGAGCTGAAAGCATGGAGTATTTTTTTTGATTCCTGGAGCAAAATACATACCATTGAGGTGTCAATTGGTTTACCTGATATTTAGACATTAATATGGGGGAAAAAAAAAAAAAAAAAGAAGTATTAGATCCTAGGAGTTATCAATCTTAGGAGGCAAATATGATATTCAAATATCTGAATTAAATGAAGCACATAAAAAGCCTTGAAAATGGTTCAGAAATGTTAGATAAAACAGTCTCAGGAGAAACATGTCAGGTCAAAATTTCTCACTACTTAATCAAGACTTCCAAATTTATTCCAGGATCTAGAAGATCAACTGGCATAACTAAAAATTATTCTGCAGAACAGCAATATCCCAAAAGAGATATATGTGTTAAAATCATACTCTTAAAGATGTCTTTAAATAAATTAAATGGGCTTGGGGGCTCTTTGTGGGGTTTTTTTGAAAACAAAACTCCCTGCCCTCATCTACCACATTAAGCAGTCTTCTCCATAATTTATTTGGCAAATGCAGATAATTTGGCCACACATAACATGGTGGCATAGGAGGGAGAAAGATTACTTGCTTTTTAAAAATAGTTCAGAGACTCTGGAGACCATTAATATACATATATTCATTATATGTATATTATATAAAGATGTGTGAAAGATTCCTACACACCTGACAGTGTCCATACATTTGCTTTTATTGTCTTTGTATAAAAAAAAATAGAAAAAAGCCAGCAGAATCCTGAATTAAAAAAACAAAAAAAAAATGAAAGAAACATTTCCAAAATAATTTTCATTATTTTTACAGGTGATATTTAGGCTATCTGGGACCACAGACTGGACAGACTTGATCTCAACAAGCTTCCTTTTTCTTCTTTTAAAAGAAGCTCATAGCTCATCAATTTCAACTCAATTTTGGCTTTAAAGGCTACAAAAACAGTGCTGGAATTCTGTCACTCATCTGGGGAATAAATTGTAGATCAATACAAAAATAGATAAAGACTGTTCAAGGTATAGCTCCATTTGGATAATCTTAAACTGAAATAAGAGATCAGAAGAGCATAGAACTTACTATTTAAACATACAGGATACATGCCTTTACAAAGTATCTACTTGTGTAACTAGTAAAACCAGAACAGTGAGGCTTTTAACAAGTTAATTAATCACTCTCGGAGACTCTCACCTGTACAAAGGTGTTTATCAAGACATTCAATGGCTGAAAGTAAACTCCTTGGCACAACATAACCAAAAACAGCCATCCAATGTTTTTTATAACACTTCAGCAAGTTTGCTAATGTCCATGGTGGCTTCAGATACAGTATCTGAAAGATAATATGTTATAAATTCAAAGGCTGACTTTAGTACAGACATATTCCGATACATTTCACAACTGCTCTAATCTTCAATAATGTTATGGTTTGTGCTTGTTGGAGAAGAATTCCAGTGATTCCTCAGAAATAAGGCCATACTCAGATTTAACAAGTTTATTAAAAAATATTTAATTTGGGTTAAACAGATGCTCATGTAGAAGCGTTCAGTGTACAATAATAATCTTTCAACTTTTTCATGATTTTTGGTTCCCCTTTCGTCAAACATTCTAAATAGTCTTTAGTTATCCCTTGAAATGATTTAATGTATTACTTGTGTACAAAAGCCAGAACAACAGTAAGTATGCCTTTGATTTTCCAGTATTGTTAAAAAAGTAAAAATAAACAGAGTTTTCCCAGATGCGACTATATATAAATGAAGTAATATGTGCATTTTGCAATAAAATTGAAATTTTTTACTACCACGCAAAACCAGAGTTTGGAAAGATGTTAACAGGAATCAACTAAGTTAATTGGAAGTGCCTAAACCTTAACAGCTAATCAAAGCTCTATCTTGTGGGACTACAGTCATCCCATACAAATGATATTGTTTTTTAATTTTTGAAAACCACATAGGTTTATCTGCAATAAACTTAAACTTCTAACTAACCCTTACCAGCTATAAAATAGGATCTAAAAAATAAAGAATGGATGATTTGGAAGTGCCTTGTACATGAGTAATTATTTTCTGCTAACAATACTTTTGAAAAACTGAATGTTTGAGGTTCTCAATAACATCATTGTAATTCTGTATCTACAGTGTAGCCAAGAGCGATTTTATCCAGGTAGTGTCTAAAAGGCTCTGTTCTGATGGGAAAGAAGCGCTTGCAACAACAGTGCCTCAACATTATCTAAAGCACGATGGAATACATTTCTTGAGGGATGTCTTCACAATGCAGTGATTTAACCATACTAGAAAAGACGAAATAGAAATTTAAGGCAACACAGAAACTTCTGAAAATTCACACTGAGCAGCCAGCATCTCTGTTACCATCATTATTAAAAGACTGTGTACTGCCAAATAGTATAACCTGGTTATAATATAAAATAGTTAAACTGAACACTAAACTGTTTACTGTTAGTGAACCAGATGACTTAGCTATCTATCTTAGCACAGGTACTAATATGATTAAAATACCAAGGACATTTAAACCTCTTAATACTTGAAATATGAAGCAAGATGACATAAGAAACCACCTCCATCCATAGGTTTCCAAACGCAATTTTCATTTCAGTCTCCAAAATACAAGATAAAGCTTCTCCTAAGTTCTTTTCAAGGTCTGGAAGTATATTTGGGAATCGTGCAGTAGGACCAACATCACCTCCTTCTGTTTTCTTCAACTCTGTATCTGTCAAACCGATGACAATAAAAGTTACTTATTGTAACCATTTCTATACCTAACTTGTATTAGTACACAAATAACCTGCCCCATAAATACAGACTGCACTTTATGTTATAAAGCAGATGGACTACATCTAATTAGGTATCAAGTATTTCTAGTTATACCCACTTGTACTGTGGATATTTTTAATTATGAGCTACTAACCAAGAAGATTAATTTTCCCAGAGCATTATTCATTTGTGATCTTACTCCACATTTCTTTTTTCCTTAAATAACTTAGATTATACCAGCCAGGGGGGTTATCAGCAAGTATAAGAAGATCACTTCTTAATACTGTAAGCAGTATTTGTATCTTTGGAAAAATTAACAGGGAAGCCAAGAATAAAGTTCTACTGTCTGGGATGAAGGTAAAAGTATTAGCATAAAACCTAAGGAGTGATCTCAGCATACTGAATTTTACAATTACTAAGAAGAGGACCCAAACTGGCTCAAATGGAAAAGCCCCTTCTCAGTCCTAAAATATTCAGAATACCTTTTAAATTACTATAAACACAGGAAATGCATTCTGTTTTTCTTTATAGAAAAAAAAAATGTGTCCTATTTGAATTTCCTAGAACTCTAAGAGACAGATGTTTTAATAAAGGTCTCAAACTTTCAGAAAACCTTTAAAAAAAAAATCTGATCCAAACAAAAAGCATTCCTAAGAATTTAAAGTATATGAAAGCTGAAGTTATAGTAGAAACTATTCTCCCGCTCCTACACTGATTGCTATGGGTCTCAAAACCAGCAGATGTATACATGCACATTAAACAAATTTATCGCATTTTGACTGTTGTAGCTCACCACAGTTCTGGTGCCTGTTTACGTTCAGATTCTGTAGAGCAGTAACCAGATCAGCTTTGCAGAATGCCTTGACCTCACTCACAATGGCTTTACTACATAAATTTTTATCATCCCTAGGAAAAGAGAACTAATTATTGACATAAAACTGATATTACTACATAGTACGTAATAAAAGCAACACACTGAAAAACTGTCTTTGGTAAGCCTATTTCCTGTGCATTATATATGAAGGGTTTTTTCTCAAGCATTTAGAAGCAGTTCAAAAAATTAAACCAGAAAATTAAGTAAAGCATCTATTCTGAAAAAAAAAAAAGAAACATACTGAAAAATGTTTCAGGTTCTAGGTTTGCTTTAAGAAGAAAACAGCTATAAATACTACAGCAGTGATGTCTAGTTGCTATGATCTTAGAATGCAAACAAGGAAATAATCCCAAGACAATAGTTTCTTATTTATAATAAATTCTCATTTTCTACACCCTTTTTCATTGTTCTGCTAGCCAAATCGTTGCCTCAGATGCCACCCTGACGTATACACAGCTTCAGCAGAACTACTGTAAAGATGCAGTACAAAGTTGGCTCCTAGTACTTTCTCAAAAATTCTCATTGCTTATATCAATAAAAGATAAATGGATTTTCAGATTAAAAGCACTTCTGAAGTCACCTCTTGTTCTTTACTCAGAGAAACCCAAAATTACTATCAACAGCCCTACCAATATTGTGATTGAAAGAGTATTTTCAGCAGCAACTCAGTCCACACGTCAACTTAAACAAACCAACTGATGCCTGCTGTCTTAACTCCACTTACTGAAACTGTGCAGGAAATAGTTCTAGCAAAGACCAAAGCAAGCTGTTTACAGTACTCGTCGAGGAATATTAGCCCTTTAAAAACTAGATTCATGTGTCTTGTATAAAATTGAGAATCAATACTCAGAAGTCAGCTGTTATCCTCAAAAAACAAAGGCAAACCTATCTCCACCCTCCAAGATCAACCTTCAATGCATCTCATCCTCACCAAACCAGAGAGGCAAATCTATCTCTGCCTTCTGTCTAAGATTAACCCCTGACAATATTTATCACTGTTACAAAACAGGTGAGCAGAAACAAAGTAACTGGATCTCAATCATTAATGATTTTTTTTTCCTATTTTGTAAGTCCAGTAACACTTTTTATGAGAAAGTGAAGTAAAATCTCAGAAAGCTATGCTTCAAAAAGTCTTAAAATTGAATACTGATTAACCTTAATTCTACTTCAGGCCTCAAGCACATAAAGATGATTAAGTCTACAATCTTTGTTTTATTATATCCTTCTACTCTAGCTTTTAAGAGGGTAATTGCTCTTCACAAAGCTTACTTCAGACACAGCTCCTCATTTTACAGTATGATTGGAAAATAGTGTATTTAGCATGAGTCTAACTTAGACCTCATCAGAGACCTAAAACCACACAGGAACTCACGTGCAGAGTATGACAACAGCTTGAGGAAAGAGGTTCTGATACTGAAGACAACATTGTAAAACACGATCATCATTGTTCTCGTCACTCAGGCCATCTGCAAATTTAGTTAAGACAGTGCTGACATGTTCAGAAGTAACTCAACTTAAGAAAGACCTCAGTGTTGTCATGGAACTGATTTTAAGTTTAATACTCCCCAAACAATGACACAGAAGTGTAATCCAAACACAAATCTGCGCTTTGAATTCGAAGGTACTACTCCACTCAAACCACTATGGTTTGCCAGAAAATGTCAAGTGAGACACATATAAATTTGACTATGTTAGATTTTGTGATGACTGAGTGAAAAGTAAAAGCACACAACATATCCTTAGCTCATAGATAGAAGTAACCAGATGAATTTTCATTAAATAATCCCCCACTTAGCAACAGATGTAGCTAAAAGTGAGAAACAATTGACAAAACAATAGTGAACAAAGCACTAATCTGAATAAGGTATTTGCATCCTTGGATAGGCTCTGAAGGCTGCTGTAAACTATTAGCTAATTTTAATTATAGTGAAGACTGTAGTAAACAAAGAGTTTTAATCAGAGTGAAGACTGTAGTAAACAAAAAATATAGTGCTAAGGTTCACACTAGGTGAACTGCAAGGATTAAGTACCCAAAACAAACTAATCGCAAACATATTACACAGTTTTTGAGAAGCAAGCTGCATGGATTGCCCCCACAATTTTGAATCTTGTTTTTTGAGACACATGTAGATGAACTGGACTGCAGGGATAGCTTTGTCCCGAACATGCTGCAACATTTTCCCCTTCTTCAAGTTGTCCAACTCTTGTAGAACGACCCAGGGAATTATTAATGCAAGTTTGCCAACACCTGGAATGAAAAGAAAAAAAGAACACAACCACAAAAGAAAGACATTGTGAAGAGCCATGAAAACTACAGATAGATAACTTTTAATTCAAATATCATATTTAAGTTCACATATCTATCCTGCCAGCAGTTTTCCATGCTCAAGAGTATCTAGCGTTAAAAAATAAACTGAAAAGGCCAAGTTCCCTCTAACCTAACCTCAAACCGGCATTACGTTGGTACTGTGTAAAAATGACAACATTAGGTGAAAAAAAGGAAGACACAATTTTAATCAACAGAATACTCTGACAACAGTGTGTAGCAATATTATAAATTTACAGCAATTACCTTGTCACACACTCACTGTAAGATGTTGAAGCAAGGTAACAGCAGCTGAAATAACAGCCTGAAAATACCTGAATGACCACAACAGTCACTGTGCCATGATAGTCATCAAATAAACAGAGCAATGGTTTGCAATAACTGACAACCAGCATTCCATGCCAGGAACAGGAAGTATGGATATTGCACCATGGATTTATTTGTATGTAAGTAGGGTCTGAATTTTAAAACTATTATATATGAAATAAATGGTAAATCAGAAACATAATGACTGTTCTCTTGGTCCACTGTGGCAGGTGCACCCACCCCTGACTGTTGAGCCACCAGATTTGCTAACTCCAGTGAAATATAAAAACATCTGCTGACTTCGGTCTCCAGCGAAATATAAAAATATGTGCTAGTTCTGACAAATATCTGCTGACTTTGGACAGACTCAGATAACCACAACATCTGCTGATTTTGGTCACAATAGGGTTGCACAGCTGGCTATTGTTTAGATCCACACTTTGGTCGAAGGCTCAGACCCTCAGCCAACATGGACAAATGTGACCATATTTTGACCACAGATCAGAATCAACTAGGGTACAAATGGAGTCCCTCCAGAGGAGAAATGGCACCAGTCCTCCTTGGAGCACGCGTCTGCAGTCAGGGACTCTCTCCTTGGGTTGGGATGTTGCCTGAGGTAACTCCTCAAGATTGAGAGCCCTCATCTTTTAGGTGAGATTTGCACATTTTGGGTCATTTTTTCTAAAACTTGAGAATTCTTAAATTGGTCGGGCAGTAATTAACCCATCTTACATCCTGAACCTATGGTTTGCTGATATTGTCAAAGTATTAAATGATTTTTGATTAGAACACAATTCCTTAGAGCTTATAAAACCTAAGTTAATTTTGCAAGCCTCCACAACATTAATTGATGTAGTAACTCAACAGATGGTTTTCCTTACCATTTGTAACTATTAGATGCAAACCATTGTGCAAATCTGGGACTAGGAATGGAATCAGCTGCACGTACACTCCTCTGAGAAGGAGTTTAGAAAGCAAGGGAGTCCATTCTGAACCTCATGACTCAACAGGAGGGTCTCCCTGACAGTTTTGTCCGACTCTGTCCTCTATGCAGTAAATATCAAGTGAATCTTGTCTTTGAATCTTGTTAAACCACTGTCACACTTACTACCAAACTTTGTTAAGTCGTACTTTTACAAATTCATGTTAAAATCACTTTTACTAATACCTTTGACAGTGATTCATTAAGTGATCTAAATCACTCATATGTGACATCTACCCATGACAAATACTTCAACCAGTTTCTTTCTCATGTTCATTATAAGAATACAATTTTGAAAAAATGCATTGATATCCATCTGCTTTGTAATAACTAGGTAAGGAATCAGCAGTCTTCTGTACATAATGGGTCTGGTGCAGGACAAGAAACACTGGGACCTGCAATATTCTTAAAAAAAAAAACAAAAAACAAAAGGCATCCCGTGCCAATGCAACACCAATGCAATATTCTAAAAGAGACATCCCAATGCAACACCACTCCTAGTATGGGAGAGAGAAATAGTCTGACACATTCTTGAAAATTACTCATGCCCTTATTAAAGTTATTGTCCAGGTGGCCAGAATAAGTGTATTCCTTAGCTGAAAGCATCAAAGCACCCTAAGTATTCTGATAGATACCAAATATGTCTACCAACAACAGACACACATGATCCCAATCCTGCTAACATTAAATCACTAAAAGCTTCACAGCATATTAAAGCCAAACATTAAAGCCAGAGTCTGCACCCTGAATTCCTGAGAAATTGCTCACACATTTCATGAATTCTGTGACCAAGACAGAAATAAATAATGACTGCTTATCAGATTTTAAAAGTTTTTAGACTTTTTAGACTACAAGGAAAATGCTAAAGAGATTAGAAAATATCATTACCATTAGTAATGGATTAAATGCTTAAAAGTTTGTTTTTACAATAGGTAAGACTTATTTATCTCTAAGAATTCATGCACATTCCTGGGAACATTGATTCTCTGTAGGTATAAGCATAGTGGGTTCTACATGCATAGCTGAACTTCCCCTAAGAATCAGCCTCTTAAGTGTGAGCCTTCTGCCTCTATATGAAACCTGCTGCCTTTTAAAGAAGCCCAGGTTTCTATTTCTTCACATAGCCTGAAGTTCTTACAACATTTGTTTTTTCTTAAAATGTCTTATTTATCACCATGTATTCACATACCTGGTATATCCTCAGATTTCAGGGATCTGACAAACTCAAGGTGACTAATCATTATATTTGTGTCAATCACGACCAATATGTTCAGACCAGAAGTGAAGGCCTCTGGGGGGGGGAAAAAAAAAATAAAAAAAAGAGAAAAAACCCAACCCAGTTGTGAAAAAAAAAATAAAATCAGTTGTGTACTCTCTACTCAGATCCTTAACCAACTGCAATAACTAGTTGCAAGTAGATACCAAAGAACATCATGACATACCAGCAGAAATATTTAAATCCTGTTCTGGCAGATCTATTTCCATACTTGTAAGTTCTCCACAAGTCTGTGCTACAGACAGTGCCATGCTCTTCTGAACACGAGCAACATGCAAATCTTCAACTATCTGCATCTACAATTAATAAAAAATTGCATATATGAAATCAATTGCAAGTAATCACTTCTGAATTGTTCCCAAAAAAGATACCATCACATTAATGCTGTTGTGTTAAAACCGACTAAAAACAAGCATGAGAAATTTTAAGTTGGTACAGGAAATATAAAGGAGGACCTTCTGCATATCCTCCACTATAAGTAGTCCACAAAAGATATCTAAAATATGGTCTACAATGAAGATTTGTCTATGAGCTTTCTATCTGGTACACAATAACTTCGTTCCATTTTTTGCTACGCTGACTGCAAATTTCCTGACAGATGCTTCTTATGAAAAACCCATCTCTTTTCCAATTTGAACGTTAGAGGATAGAAAACAAGATAGCTAGAGTATATAAGCAAATACGAAGGCCCCCTACATTGCAGAGAATAACAGAAAGGCAATTCTTCCATCTCAGGAAGTTCCCAATTAGCTGTACTTTAGCAAGTTTGTTTAGTATTTGAAAAAAATGCTCCACATTTTTTGACATGTGGAGCACGTTGACATAAGGCAACAATGTAAAATACTAGGAAAGGTCATGAAATTGTCCACCTACACAACCTCAGTGCCATGAGTTTTTAACACAACTTAGAAGGGTTAAATTAAAGCATTACTAACCTCTTGGTCTGTTTCTGGGATCTGACTGTTTTGAAGGGGTGGAAAGACTTCAAGGCTCTGTAGAAAGAATTTACAAAACCCCATACCAACATCACAGAATACCAAGGAAGACTGAGGAACAAGTGATCCTCATGTTAAGAGTTTTGGAATATAGCTCTTTAGTGTTAAACAAGTATATCACTAACCTTTTGGACAGACTTTATGGTCTCAGCTTCTTGGTAGGAGTCAGACGTGCATGGTACTTCAACATTCTAGAAACAAGTAGGAACAGAAATGGAACATGTATCAGTCTTCTAGAGTGCTTTTTAGAGAACACTGAGTATTCCCAAGTAAAGTGAATAGGTAACAGAAAACGTATTTTTGATATCCATGAGGCAGCATCTAAAGGGTTTAGAAGGATAGACTTCTTTTAAAATAAATATACTGGTTTACACAGTAAGCCTGTTTTTCCAGTGTCTTGTAGGTTTGTGACTATGTTATTCTTGCTCTGGGTTTCCCAGTACAAGATAGGCATGAATTTAATGGAGTGAATTGTACAAAGGGTTGCTAAGACCATTAAAGGACTGGGGCATATCATACAAGAGGCTGAAACAGCTGGGATTGCTTGGCCTGGAGAAGAGAAGGGGGAGTCTTATCCATGTTTATAAACACCTGATAGGAGGGTGTAAAGAAGATGGAACCAGACTCTTAGCAGTGCCCAGAGCCAGGACAAGAGGGAATGGGCACAAACTGAAGCACAGAAAATTCCATCTGAACATTAAAAGAGCCACTTGTGAAGGTGCTCAAACAGGCTGCCCAGAGAGGTTGTGGAGTCTCCATCCTTAAGAGATATTCAGAAGCCTGATTGGACCACAGACCTGGGCAACCCGCTCTAGCTGACTCTACCTGAGCAAGAGGGCTGGACTAGACAATTTCCAGAAGTACCTTCCAACCTCAACAATTCCACATGTAATTACTATCTTCACATACGCACAAAACAATCATGCTACCATAACGTGAACTGAAATCTCCAAAACTGCTAGGCATGTTAAATGAGAACAACAACAGAGTAACCACACTCAAGATAAAGTTGAGGTGCAGTTTAGGCTAGAACTCAGAAACAAAACAATTACAACCAAATATGAAGTTCCGCAGAAAATGTACAAATTTAGTCCCAGATCTACCCGTTCTCCTGGCATCACTTTGCCAGCAAGGAGAACCTGTTTGGCAGTCAAATTTTCATTGGTTCAGTTTACTCATTCAAGAAATGATACAACCATGTCAGGTCAATTCTGTTGATTTATACCTAAATTGAAGCATTCCACATGCCCAGCAGCCAAGCAAAGCTATGGAAGCATACGTGCAGACACAGTCCTAATACACAAGACTTATTCTTCTAGTTTGTTTAACCATTTAGCAGAGCAGAATTTTAACATGGTTTACATTGCAATCAGAAAAATCCAGCTAGTTGGCAACACAATTCTGTTTGAAATCTGTAAGACAGTATGCATATAGAAACTGCCATTCAGAAACTAGCCCGAAACACCTACCTGCATAATAAAAAGAACTGGTTTCTCATTACCTGCTTAAAACATAATGCTGTGGCTTCAAAGTCCCTTTCTTCAGTCCCTAAATTACCAGTAGCTTCATTGGTATCAGAATCCTGTTTTTTCCATTTACAAGAGTCCCATCGTCGCGGTGTTTCAGTTGAATAGTGTGATGATGTATGTTTATTCCCATGCCGTTCTTTCTTACGAAACTCCTTATATTCTTCTTCATATTCTTCTTCCCAAGTCCTAGATAATGTATTTGGCTTCTTGGTGAAAGGCCTTGTAGAGGTGTTAGATGACTTTTTTGGAATTCTGACATCTTCACTCTGTTTTTTTGATCCATCTGCCTTTTTATGTGGTACACGTGAATCATACACATATGACTTAAATTTTTCCAGCATAGTTTGTTCTGCTTTTAACTTTAGTTTGCAGAGTTCAGCTTCCTCTGTCTTTTTCTTCAGCGCCTTGTGCCTCTGAACTGCAAAGCTATGCCAGAGTCTTTTTCCTTCTGTACCATCAAAACCTTTATCATAAGTTTCTTTGCTAGTAGTCACTACATCAGAAGTGCGTGTACTTTTCCTGTGTTTAATTTCTTTGGCTTTAAATTGGATAACTATTCTCTTTTGCTTTTCATCTTGGATTAAAGAATTGTCTGTGGATTTGCTCCTATTTTGAGATTTTCCTTGGGATCTTCTATCAGTGCCATGAGAAATGGTAGAACTTTGGTCTTGCTTCTTCTCTTGCCCATCTTTCTCTATTTTGAATCTATAGAAACATAACAAAAGAAGTATTGTCATCTAGCTCAGGTAATGTAAAAGAACAAAAAAATAAACACAAAGCCCCCCCAATCTGCCCTTGATTTAAGCACTTACAGCTAAGCATGTGTGCTAGTTTGGTATATTCTTAAATAAGAACTTGCAGCAACATCTGTTCTTTAAAATTGTTTGATACAGCATTTTTTCTACTTACATTTTGCCTAGCTGCCTAGCTTTTTAGCTTATAAAATTAAGGAAAAGCTTTTTCTGCATTCACTAGCTATTGGTTTGAGAGATGCCCTACAAAGTTTCGTTTCATCTTATCACACAGGTAAGTCTTAAGAGCAGTTTAATGGCACATGAGGTTCATTGCCCTAAAATTCAAGTGTGCAGCAGCTCAGCTTGGTCACACAGTGCCAAACACCACACAGCGTTCAAACAGTGCAGGATAAACAGACTGGAGAGCTTGGAAAAGGAATGATTGATGGGAATATAGTAATATCCTACAGAAATCATGAACAATATGAAAACTGAATAGGAAACTTTCTTATAACAGCAGAGAAAGTACTCGATAATTTTATCATACAGTAGCTTTAAAATATCCAAAGAAAGCTTCTATCCTACTCTATAACAGTGTTGTCAAAAATGATAGAGAGGTAAAGGCTATCTGACAAACTCAACCAGGACAGGTAATTAAAATGCTCTGACTGGCCTCCAACTTCTGACTTAGGAGACCCCTAACTGTTTTTTAGAAGCTGGAAGGGTGTAAACAACAGGCAAAATCATTTTGTACTTGTCTTGTTTCACATATTCCTTCCTATGCAAGCTCTACTGGCCACTGTCAGGAGGGAGGTACTGGACTGTACAGTTTTGGCATAAGCATAGTGTTATGGTTGTATCATACTGTACTAACAAACAGTGCTTAACAGCATGTATACATGCAGCTAAACATCCTACAATTTACAACTCCAGCCTGAGAGAAATAGTAACAAGATTTTGTCATGGTTAAGAAACAATCAAAAGCTTTTCCATCTCAGGATTCATGCGAACATTCTCACTTTACATGAATTAGTTTCCAAATATTGTTTACAGTTGCTACACTCAAGGTGAAAGATTGCTTTTGCTTTCTTTGCCTTGGAAACAATTACTTCAAGCATCAGAAGTCAATAATTTCAGGACTACAGGAAACTAGTTCTTCATTGAACTTTCTACCTTTAATATACTCCAGACTTCACTGGAGCATTTTCTTGCTACAAAAACATGTGAAATACAGACCAACAACGCAGTGCTCAAGACAAAAAAAAAATATAAAACTTTTTATAACAGCAGTGTTGGAAGGATATAATTCCTACCTTATCTGAACTGTAGTAGCATACATTAGAGTTAAAAACAATAATTCTGAATCCTGTGTTCTCAAACTTCCCACTCATTAATGAAATGCCATCAGTTAAAATACCATTATTTTATTTGGTGAAGAGGTCAAACTGAAGTCTTAAATTCAGTATTTAAAAAAGCCTCTGATTGTTTTATTTTTAAGTAGTTCCATTTAATGACAGAACAAGAATTTACCTCTGAAATTCTGTCTCTCCTTTCATAATATGTGTATAAGTTCTTGTGTCTTCAGAGTTCTGAAAGAGGAAAAAAATTTAAGGGCTTATTATAAAGGAAACTGCAGTCAAAAAAAACCTTCATAAGATAGAACAAGCTATTATTTCATACTGGATTCACTATGATGTTGAATAAGTTAATTTTGAAAAAGGCAACCAGATATCTTGCTATAATTTAGCATTTAGATTTTGTTGTATTTAATAACATCACAAGGGGAAAAATTAAAATGTGGCACACAGTTCTGGGTTATAAAGAGAGAAAGCTCAACTAATTAAACACATTTACGACTCATGTGTTTCATATACTCTACAAGTATTTAGTATGTAAAATATACATTTTTGTATATTGATAAAAATCCTTAAGGAAAAGGAAGTTACCTGAAGATTACTTCCAGCTATCCCTTAGGTAAGGCCCAAGAGAGGATACATCTATAGGAGGATTTTGTGCGGAAAAGATGTGTTATTCTCATCAGATTTAGTAATTAGGTGGAACAGTGTGAAACTGCAGTTATGTAGGCCTCCTTAAGAGTAAAGGTAGTCCCCAAAGAGTCTGAACAGTCCTTGTTTACAAAGCAAGTTATATCACTGCTTGGCATACCTATATTGCAAATTGCGTCGCGTTTATGTTGCTGAATAACTGGAAGGTGACTTTGATCAGGTCAGAACTGAAAGCAGTTTTAATGCAGCTATGGGAAAGAACCGAGAGCAGCAAAGCAACAGATTCTGGTGATATGAACTCTGTCCCACAAAGCACTTAATTTGTATATACTTTTGGGTTATATGCTTTAGTTTTCTCAAAACTATAGAAGGACATAAGAAATTATAACAAATTACAAATAATTCACTCCTTCAGTAATTGGGTCTTGCTGACTCTGTGAGGCCATTAGATCACTGCTGTGACCTAGTTAATTTTCCTAGCTAGAGAGGCCTGCAAGGGCTTAATGAGGCCTTAAGCTAGTTTACTTCCACATAGAAAGTACTTCCTTAAAAAATAAAAGGGTTGCAGAAACCAGTGGAGTCCTAAAGAATTTAAAAAAAAATTGAGAACTTCTGCCCATGTTTGGTTGTGGAGTTGTAACTGCAGCAAAACCAATGCAATCATAACTCAGAAGACTGTTAAAGGCTGCTGCCACTGAGAATTGTATCAATGCAACCTGCTACAGGAAGACCCATTCAACTCATATGATTATAATCAGATAGGAAATGAACTGTTTCATTGGTTTATTATCAACTCAGTTAACTGGCAATCAGTGAACTGCACACTCTGGATCAAAACTAGCAGTACAATGGAAAAAAATATAATAACAGACAATTACAAAATGATGGTACCAGAAAGTTTTAATCTCGTAGCCCTCCATGACAGGCTTTGGCACCCACACACATGCAGCTGAGGACATGGGTGCTCCAGCTGTGTGTGCACGCATGCCACTTCCTACAACCCGCTAATGCATGTGCTCCAGCCATGGAGCTTCTCCATCAAGGCAGAGGGAGGCTGTGGGACAATTCTGGCAGTATCAAGCCCAGCTTGACTGCTGCTCAGTTACTGCTTTCTCTCTTCAAGACCTACTCTCCTAGAACCACAAGTTCTCAGGATGTTTATAGCATTTCTTTTCAATTTAACACCTTCTTTTATCAAGTTTCTTGATAATTCCCTGATTCTCACTTAATTTGGCTGTTTTAAGCAAACTTTCTTACAGTTAGTTTCCTCTTAGCATTATCAGTTTGAGGCAAATGAACTTCTGGAGCAGACTGGTTGTTGCACTTAGGGTGAGAATAAATTTGATAAGAGATAAATCCCATTGCGTTCTAGCCAGTCCTCAGAGATTAGAGGGGCCAGGGGCAACTGGACTTACCCCTTAATAGGTATGTCAGTTGGGGGCCATCACTATAGGTCTAACCCAGCCCAAGCAGCCCATACACTGTAAGTCTGGTTGCATTCAAGAACAGCAGTCAGATTCACAAATAGTATGGTTTATTTTCATGCAACATCTACAGATTCCTTAAGATTGCCTACGATAAATGCACAAACTGCAGGTTGGCCCTACAACACTACACAAAAGAAAAAGGATTGCAATCACACCCACACAGTTCCTGGGGATACACTCAGTGTAGCCAAGGGAATCTTAGCAAAAGGCGATCCTTTTTGGGCGGGGGAGGCGAGAGCACAGACCCATCAATCTGTCCCCGCTTCGGTGTCAGATTATCGTCCCTCCCCGTTAGGTACAAACTTGGGGTGCTATTTATCTTAGTAGGTATGGGTGAGTGGGTGGGACCACAGTCAAGTCATTATTTTTTGAATAATGACATAATTAATTTTGTGGCGCCAAGGGGTATGGCTGGTTTTTGTGGGGAAAAAAGAGGGAGGATGAGAAGCAAGGTCGACTTGGTGCGAGGGGTGCAGCTGTCTTGTGTGGGGAAGAAAGGAGGATGAGGCACAGAGTTGGAAGGGGTTGCTACAAAAAAATCATCTTTCAAGAGAAACGAGTAGAACAGGAGATAAATCTGTCCTTGAAGTGAAAGAATGGGACCACGCAGCCTGCACCCTGCTTCGCATTCCTCCTTGGCGTCACATCAGACACAGATCACTGGACCTTCGTCCTGTCCTGTGTTTATTCTGGGCACTGTGTCATGTATGTTTTTGCAGATTTCTTACTGGTTTGCCCTACTCACACTTCCAACACCTAACACTGGTTTTAGGTGTTCTGTTTACAAACCCATGGCTATCGTATCACCTGGTGTTATCCAGACCATGTCACCAAGAGGTAGCTGTGCTGACTCCTCCAGACATCTCTGTGTAAAGCTGTTCTAATTTATGCTGTGACAAATGTCCTTTCACTCATACTCATGAACTTATATAGCAAACTGCTAAAAGCCAACAGGCATAAAGTCTTGTAATATTTGGTCATGCTTACACCACACAAGAAAGAACCCAAAGCCCCTATATAATCATGCCTAAATATGACTCTACTTAAACGACTTACTCTCACCTGTAAGAGCTGAAGATACTTCTTATCCCTACTGCAATCACATTGAAGAAATACTTGCTACTATTCAGATGCTTCCTATCTATTTACTATTATTAGTTTATGTTCCCACTGTTGCTCGCACTGCTCAATGTCTGCATATTTAACACTGTCTCAAACAGACTGAAGTCATGCAACAGTTAAAACTGTATTTTTCAAACTGGTATAGGCATTAGCAATGGCAATACAGCTATAGTACAAGGTTTTAAGTCAAGTTTTTGCCTTTGTATTACAGAAGTTAAAAAACACCACTTTGGGATAAATTTATGTTAAAAGAATAATAATAAGAAATTCAGGAGAAAAAAGTTTCAATATTTGGCTTTGAACAACATTTTCTACATGAGCAAAAGGCTTTAACATGTAAATCAGTTTATAAGGCCATTGTATCACATTAATAAACACTTCTAAACATTTGTTGAGACATTTATAAAAGTTCTCTCATTTCATATATACCTTACAAAATCCAAGGGAAGAACAAAAATCTAGCAAACTGAAGTATGGATTTATTAAACTACTGATTTACTGGATATATATTACAGTACTGGCAAGAAATAACTTCCCAGAAGGGGATACAAGCAACAGAAAAAGAATGGGAAACTACACAAAAGTAGATTATCTACACAGAAAGATTATCACCCCTGTAGCATCTGCATTTTAGAAGCAATTCAGTGAAAGCTTACTCACTAGATACCAAGATGTACCAGAGTATACGAAGAATTGTGGCCACGTTAAAAGGAAGTATTTGAGAGTTGCTTGCTAAAATGCTGCAAATTCATGGTTAATCAGAAAATTAAGATATACAATCCAAGATGAAGCACAATGCAGGAAAACAATAGTGGGCTTGGTAACAGTTGTAAGCTCAACTTTCCTCAATCAGGAAGACAGACTAACATAAAAAAAAGTATCCTATTTTCTGATACCCACACTACTCATAGCCTCTGGAAAAAAAAACCAAACTAGAGTTATCTAGCTACAACTTGGCAGTTATCTGAACAATTTAAGCCTCCTGCTGTTCTTAATGACCCCACCTTTAAACCTGATTCATCCTCCTACCACAAGACTGCTAAACAATTCATGCTCTTCTCTTGAATGTGAGGGTTCGAATTAAAATAATGGTAACAGTAATAGTACAGCTGTTCCTACTTTGTCATCATGGCCATCCAGACAGTCTTCCTTTCCAGTTAATTTCTTCAGTTTCTTTTTAGACATCTTCAAATCCTAAGAAAAAAATAACTCATCTTTTGCTTTCTCATTACATATCCACAGCAGATTTCAACACAGTTAATTATTCACATCTCACTATGAAGAGAACTTCACAGAAAAAAAGGATGGCAATTACTTTACCATCTGCTCCAGAGACACATATTTCGTACGAGCAAACAAACATACCAGACTAATACAGACAAACATCTCCTAACATTTAGTCATTGTGGTGGTACAGACCTCCCTCCAGCCCCAAGCCACATTGCTATGCCAAAGCCAGCCAACACACTGCTCTCTTGTCTTGGTTACAAGTGCAGCGAGTTGGGGTGATCTGGCACTTTCTTGTCCTTTATACAAGAGAAGTGAGCTGAGATATGAGGTACTACCTAACCATACCTGAAACTCCTGTTGCCTGGGAACCATATCTAAAACTCCTGCTGCCTGGATTGTAGCCCGCTTTGGAAGATGCCAGAAGTACCTGACAAGAATTGTGGCCAAAATAAAAAATACTAAAGTCAATCATATCAAGGTCCTCTAAACAGCAATCCTAAGTGAGACCCTTTGAGCTCTCAGTATCTCCCTCTGAGTTGGGATGCCTCTTAGGTCAGATTTCACAAGGATTTCAAAGAGTAGATTTCGCAAATATTTCCAGGATCATCTGTTGATAGACGCTGATGAGAAGGATGTTGCTCACGTTCAGAAGAGGATGGCACTGTCTGTAGTACAGACTTGTGATGAACTTAAAAGCATGGAAATAGATCTGCCAGAATGGGGTTGAGGGGTTGGAACTAGATGATCTTTAAGATCCCTTCCAAACCAAACCATTCTATGGTTTAAATATTTGTTCTGGTATGTCATGATTTGATGTTCTCTGGTATCTACTTGCAAGTTGTTACAACTACTTGACTTCTGTCTTTAGTCTGAGCAGTTAAACAAGTTGAGAAAATACACCAGGAAATACCTGTTCAGATTAGAGGGCCAGAAATAGTCCCAAAACGAACTGCTCAACCAGAAAGAACTGCATGAAAAGGAAATTGTATGCCTACCTGGTGGGACTAGCAAGTGAAATGCAAACGACTGAAGGACAACAATTTCCAAATTACAAATGCCTGACTCACTAGCATTAAAACAGTCATTAAAGTCTACACCAGTTCTAGATGCACCTCCCCTCACTGCCACCAACTGAGGACATTGAGCCGGGCCCCTCGCTGAGGTGAGCTCTGCTGCTCTTCCCCTGTGTGCCCGGGACGGGCCGAGGGCGGGCGGGGGTCATGCGGCGGCGCGCGAGGGAGAAGCGCCCCGATCGAGCCCCGCGGGGGGTTGAATTTACAGCCGGGCGCCTGCAGCCTCCTTCGTGCCGGCCCTTTCTCCCGCCGCCGTGAAGCCTCTGCGAGGTGAACGCAGCGCGGTTTCCTCCAGTTTTACCGACTTTGTGAATTGAGCAGACGGCGGGGCCACGCGTGCTGCCCGCGGCGGCCCGGCGCCTCCCGCCGTGCTGGAGGAGCTTTGAAACAGCGAGACCATCGCCCTGTCCTCCCTTTGGGGAGATTTTTGTTGCTGATTATGATCTTTTTACTCTCTCGAACCGTGATCCACGAGATCCCGTTACAGGCCGCCGGAGGGGGCGGGGATGCGGTGTGTGCCTTGCCGGCTCCGACCCACGTGCTTTCTCCTCCCGTTTTTTCTCCAAATGCGTTCAAACTGGTTGCGCTGGTTTTCCAGCTGCGCCAAATGTGCCATTGATGCCAGTCATTTGCTACCGTAATCTTCCAGTTGAAATGGTCCTGATGAAAAAAAAATACATATAATTTCGGCTCTTTGAAGCATTATTACTTATGTGCTTAATCCGTGATTCCTGACCAGCATTTTAAAAATCCTGCAATCTTGCTTCGGTAGTAGCCGCCTTTTCTGCTTTCCACTCTTCCTGTAATAATTTAGTGTGAAAGCTATCTCCTCATGTAGATGTACCCACAAATTGTATGTACATCACGCATGTCTTTTTCAACTATTTTAACCTATACACTTGCTCTGAAGGTGCTGACCAACTCTGGTGGACTTTGGTCACTGCTGGGCTCTTGCTATGCATTTTTGTAACTTTTTTTGGTAACATTTTTTACCAGTTTTTCTCACAGCACACGTAGTCATAATCATTGCTCTAATTACGATTTTCTAACCAAAAATCCTTTCACGTCTTCATTTTCTTTCTGTCTTTTATTAATGTGTGGAAACTATCACCAGGCATCTTGCAACTTCTTAATTGAGAAGTAGGCAGGAAATACAAGTCTGACTCAGGTGAGTTATCAGCTTATAGATCTGCGAGAAATACAGTAATGCTCACCGTGTAGCAGTGGTGCTCTTGGTATATTTTAATGTAGGTAGAATAATTTTACTCTGTGCTTATGTCTAAACAACTTTTCGAACCCCTGTCTTGAGGTATTCCTTCCATTTCCTCTGCTGAGTTTGAGTTTTTTAATAATATCAAAGATTTTTATCCAATTGCAATCTTTAAAAGCAAACAAATGAAAAGCCCCGGGGGAATCGTAAGAACTGCTCTAAGATCCTTCCAGCCCTTATTCTGTCTTCAGTAGTGGCCAGGAGTAGATAGCTAGGGAAGGCTTGCAGAACAGAGAACCAGACATTATCACATCCTCCAGAAATATCTTCAAATGCAAAACAGTTCATTAGTCCCTGTTCCTTGAGCCAAAGGCCCTGTTTTCATATCTAAAATCCAATACTGGATTTCTTTTCCATAAAATTCTTGCTTTGGCACTCGTAGACTTGCGGCATCCGCAGCAGCCTATGGTAGGGAGGTCCACAGCGTTAGCAGTCATTTGTGTGAAGAAATCTCTGAATTTCTAGTTAAATATGCAGGCTGCTCATGGCTTGCTGCAGCCTTTCCTGGTACTTCTTGATGTCATTTAGGGAGAGGAACCCACAGCTTCTGAGGATATATACCTCTTTCTGTCAAAACAGGTGGTAGTCCTGAATGGTAGTGCTCAGCTCAGTCCATACATTCATATGTAAATCAAAATTAATGCTTTTTTTTTTTCCAGGGGTCCACCGCTTGACTTTTTTTGTCATTATATGGCCCAATCACTCAGCCTCTTTAAGTCCTTCTGACATTCTTCAGTCTGTTCATCTGCGCCACCTCAGAGAACTCATTCAATTGTAAATGCTGATGGCACCAGCACTTAACCCTCATCACCTGCTCTTGATGATAGCAAATTCTTTTCTCACTCCCTTTTTTTCAGCTTGTTCAACTAGTCATAAACAGTTCTAAACTTGTTTTTGATTTTTTTTTAGCTGCTAGTATATTGTTATGAGTATGTAAATATTATTTTCTTTAAGCATCTGATGATACAGATGGGGGAAGAGTTTAATCTGTCCAGGGTGATATTATTCCACAGTGGTTTCCAAGGATGAGTGAAAATTAATCTCATTATTTTTCGACATGCCGTTTATATATTTTTACTTGTCCTTCACACTTGTAGTCATTGTGCCTGTTAGAAGCACCAAGTCCTTGGAAACAAATGAACGTATTTGTGTAATTTGTGACGTATTTATATGTCAGTTATATCAACAACACTTTTACTGGTTTTTTTATTGATTTTGTTAAGATGGTGTGGTTGTCTCTGAAGAAATGAAAAGCAACGACCTGAATGTGAAAGTTACTGAATCACAATTGGAAACCGAAGAAAAAGGAACAGAGGAAGAATCCACAAGGGAATCTGATAGCAACATTTTGGATGTATCATCTGATTATCCAAGAGGTTTGCTAATAAACTCTAAGAATATTTGTGTTGTATGCTTGAAGGAAGAAGGAGAAAAGGTAGGGGTATGCTTGAAGGAAGAAGGAGAAAAGGTAGGGAAAAAGGTAGGGAAAAGTGGGGAAGAAAGGTAAAGGGAATATGTGAAATCACGTTTTCCCTACATCTAGTAGGTCTGGACACTTATTCCCGTGCATCTGAATAAAATATTTTCCTAAAGCCTTGGAAATACCTTTCAAATGAGATGCCATTTTCCCCTTACTAACATTTCTAGAAATCGCTGCGGAAATTTGTACATACACAGTGACAGAAGTCAAGGTTAGATGAGGTATGATCTACCTCAGGCTCTGATGCTTAAAGCACCACAGAGAGCAGAGACAGTCTCTTGTATCTAAGTGCAGAAATTAGAAGCTAGGAATTGCTTTTAACCCCCAGCTTTAAAACTCACCTCTGTATCTTGAGCACGCTGATCAACTGATATCTTTGTTTGACATAAGAAAGCCTCAAGGCTAATCTTGTAAAAACATCCTAAAGATATAAAATCACTACAGAATCAGTATTGCTGTAAACTGGGATGTTGTGTGCTGAAACCAATAAAGCTGATTTATTGGATAAGCTAATTCTCTTGTTTTTAGCAAATTCTCCACTGTTCCCTTTGACTGACAAATTGAAAAATTGGGACGTAAATGTAAAGGATAGTCGGAGGAGGGGAGGAAGTGGTAGAATTTCATGTATCCTGGCTATACAGTGAATAATTGTTACTTGCAATTGGTCCACTTCTAGCTGATATTTTAGTTTTGCCAGAGAGTTTATAGGATGTTTTTATACTGCTTTGTGCATAGTTCGCGTTCACTAACGACGCCAAGCAGTAAAATAGGGAGTAAATGGAAGGTGACTTGATCTTTTCTGCTTGTTTTTTCAAATGAAGGTCTTTACAATTTGAGAAATTTGGTGTGTGTCAGCGTTGAAAAACTATTAGAAATATACTTACTGAAGAACCATTCTGGGGATTATTTTTGCAGTCATTCCTTCTACCATGGAAGTTAAAGAATACAAACAAGTGTTCCAATTAGTACTATAGTCATTCTCTAAATGTTAGATTTGAAATGATGTGTAGAAAAATAGCCATAAACTAAAAGGTTTTTTTAACTAAGAATGTTTAACTTGTAAATATCTCTGCTTTCTAGAGAAACATATTTCAATTCAAAGACATCTTGCTGATCTAGAGAAACTAGCTGACCTGAAAGAAGGTGAGTTAACCATGGCTGTATCCCAGAACACAGATCTTCATGTTACAGGTATTTACATTTTTTCTTGTTTTTTATTTTTAACACACTACACATATTTATAATGCTTGAAGACTAGGGGTTGCATAAAAATGAGCTTTATGATTTGTTCCCTTGCTTGCTGAATGTCCTACTTCCTTCAGTAAATTTAAGGCCTTAATGATTCCTTTCCATCTTTTTCCTCTGCATTGTAGCATTTCTAATGTTAGCACTGTGTGTGGATCAGCAAAATGTTAATTCTAGCTACACATCAGCAGCTTAGACTCATTTTACTTCGAGTGCCTCGATAAGAGGGAAGCTAATTGTTGGCTTTGCAGTGTTTAAACATCAGTTTGAGTAAAAATGTATTCTGTTTTGGGTTTTTTTCCCCACTGTATTTCTGATCCAGATGTATATTGGAGGATTGCTTTAAGACTACAAAGTGGGTTTATTACAACCTTAAGTTTTTTCTCTATACATATATGTATTTAGTGCTGGTAGTAGCAGCACTTGCAATGGAAACTAGGTTTTATTTACAGATCCAGAAAATATCAGGGTCTACACAGGCTCTGCATCATTTGGCTCTTGCACCTTTTAGATCTTTCAGAATGGCCACTGATTGAAATAACAGCCTACCTCCATGTCTCTTTAATTTTACTAACAAATAGGCCAAAAACTTCTACAGAGTTTGTTCCATTTTTCTTGAGGAGATAGATCATAAGTATCTGATAGATTTGGTACTTGTAGCTGTGATAGTGATAAGAAACTCATTAGTCCCTTGCCTATTCTCTATGGTTATTTTTTTTTTCTTCTGCTGTGGATGTAGCATTCTTCACCATGTGTATTAATGGGCTGACTCATATTTATTACCATCACCTCCTGTATTTGATACTCAATAAATCATAAGTCAGTAAAAGAGGCTGATAAATGTTAGAGAACACTGGTGATTTATTTGGTGAGCTCTTAAGTTGCTGCTGTTGGTTTCAGTGGCATGGAACTCTGCATGGACATAGTAATCCACTCATTAAAAAGTAATAAAAAAGGAATTTTACTGTTGTGCAAGCCTAAGATAAGAAATTATTATTCTAGATGCTCATGTTGCGTGGCATGTTTCAGTATTCATCCTGTACTGTTTTAAAACATAGAAGCTTTTCTCTAAATTCTGCATGAGAGGTGGTTTGCCAGTCAGCAGTCTTAAGACCCAGCAGATGTGTGTGTGCTCTGATATATAATGCCTATGTACATCTCTACAGCATATGTCTCACAGTTTTTTAGATTAGTAGTGCTTCAGCACCTTTGGGGTCAGATAATCCTGTCTTTGCTTTTTTGTCCCTTATGCAGGATTTCCAAGAAGAAAAAATATTTTAACATGGAGTACATTGGCTTTTTTGCAGCTTAAAAAGATACCAGGTGTTTGTTTTATCTAAAAGATTCGGGAGGAGAAAAGACAGATTCTTGGTTTAGCCTCTTCAGTTGGGTTTTTGTTTTTTTTTTTGAAACACTGCAAGTCTCTAGACTTCACCTATAAAATTATGCTTCTCTGCAGTACTCTTCAGAAGTTGCATTAGCCTCATTCTGCTGAAGTAAAAAAATAATAAAGGATATAGAAGTTGTTGATCTTTAATTTATTAGTGGTTCTTGTCTCTATTTTATGGAGTAGAAAGAGGCAATCCATAAATTTGAAGTTCGTGTATGCCTGAAATCAAAAATACCCTATGTTTCTCACACTTTTTGTTTATTTATATTTTCAGATGAAAAGAAGCCTTGTCCATTGTGTCCTGAGGAGAAATACAAAGCTTGCTATAGTCATAAACTCCATCGTCACCTTCAGAATTTGCACTGGAAAGTTTCTGTTGAATTTGAAGGTAATGACAATCATATTTGAATAGTAAATACTAGAAGAAATTGTGGACATGTAGGACATTGTTCTGTGTTTCATCTTTTAAAATTTCTCTTGACTTAAGCATCTTGTTACCAGCTCTGAATTGGAACCATATTTTGACATAATGAGTTTTGACCCAGGATGTTAAATAGCTCTGTATTATTCTACACACCAAAATAGTTACAGTTGTGCATTTTCTCATTTAAAAAAACCCAAAAACAATTACTTGGCATGTCATGAAAATTACTGTCAAATTTTAAATGTATATATAATGTAAACTACTCTAATAAAAGTTTTTATTATATCGTTAATAATCAGACACACATACAGTGCATACAGTTATTTTTGGCTCATCATAATGATTCCGTGGTTTCAGATAAATAGTTATTTATTTAGTAGCCTTGTCTGTTTTTTAACAAACTCTTGTGATCTGCTTCTAAGACGCATTAATCACTACAAGAAGTTTAAGAAGGAAAAGGTGATAAGCAGTATGTGTTTTTTAAAGAACTAAGTGTATAGGTTTGCAGGAAATAAAATGACTAATTGGAAGATGGACAAGATTAAACTAAAAACGATCTGAATGGAGTTCTGGTTTTGCATACATTAGCAGGTATCTTGGGTTTTTGTTTTCCTTTAAACTGTAGAACATAATTTTATAGTCTTCACACAAGTCTTCTAGCCAGGTAACAATGCTTCTGTATAATACTCAGAAGTACTTTCAAAAAAGTTATATACAGTATAGCCTGAAGACTCGACGTAGCTTTGTAGGATGCTAACAGACTTACTAAAATAAATTTCCTGTATGTAATTTTTATGCATTTTGAGATTTAAAATGTATAATTAGTGGATAAATTTCTTTGTGCAGAGGGTGAATGTGCCAAATAATTAGTGATGTTCTCTTATTACTGTCTTGTGGTAGTATTTGGGAATCTTAAATGAGACTGAGTGGTATAGGACATGTACGTTCTGTTTACTTACTGTACTGTGATGTGACAAAAACTTGTTTTCCAGGGTACAGGATGTGCATCTGTCACTTACCTTGTCATCCAGTAAAACCAAACTTCATTGGAGACCAGGTAAAAATGCTGAATCATGGAAGTATTTGTTACCCTACTGAGTGGGGGAAGTGGGTGACTTAGGGCAATTTTTGTGATCTTAGTTGCAAAATACATCTTGCTGTCTGGCACAGGATACCAAAAGCTTATTGGTCCAGAATATAAGTATTTGATGTAACCCATGGGTGACTGAGTGTAGTTGTATCTCTCTCTTATTTTGGGGGGTAGCTGCCTAGATCATGTAAATCACTGTCACAGTTTGGAGTAAGTAGCAGCTTTGGGTTCATTAGGCCAGGGCATGGACCCCTGGCAGTTAGCTGGCTGTGCTGCTGGGGCGGGATAGTGGTGCTGCGCTGGCTCTGTGGGTGTGATTATTCACCCTCTCTGTGGCTATCAATGCAAAATGTTTCGTATGTTCTAGAGGTGACAGACAGACAACGTCTTCATATGCCTATGTTCAGGTATAATTCTATTTTAACTGTTTTACGTATTCTGAAACTACACATGTTTTACAGACATTTGCAAAGATGGGAGCCCATTACCATTGTATCGTCTGTTCAGCAACTATCACACGAAGAACTGACATGATAAGTCATATTAACCGTCATGTGAATAAAGGAGAAACTGAATCAAGGTTTATTATAGGTAGGTTCTTACTTATGTAACACCTTCACTCTTATACTATGTAGCACATGCCGTAACTATGATATGTGGATCAGACTGTGGAGAATTACCAGGCTTGGTGTCAGAATGCAGCGTGCTTCCCTTGCGCCCATAAGCACCAGGCCTGATCAAGGACAGGAGTTGAGGAGCTTGCTTATCTGGCAAAGAACAGGGCAGGTGTGAGGGTTTGCAGTCTTATCGCTTCAAAGGCCCAATAATTAGCGACTGGGTGATGTGTGGGGTGAAGCAGAGGCCTCACAGCCCAATGTTGCTTCAGTAACGCCAGAAGAACAGTCACACCTCTGCACTGACTGCCTTCCCTCCCTCTCTTTTGATCACCACGCAACAAGCCTTGTTAAGAGCCAATCAGCATGCTGTAAGTGACTTAGCCCCACCGCACCAAGAGTATAAATCTGGTATTTAGAAACCTCCATTTTGAGGACAGGTGTTCTAACTATCGGATGGATCAGTGGGCCTGGCTGGACCTCTCTCCTCCCCAAGCAGGGACACCTCTTTAGTAAGATTCACACCTCCGGCTATGTTGGACGTTACCTGGGGAAATACTCTTAACTAAACCGCTGAACTATTATATTAACTTGAGCTTGCTTCTTGTAGTAAGTGTATTTACCAGTGGCAGTTTCGAATTTATCTGTCGCCATAATACATCACCTATCTTTTCAACTTTGCAAAACTGTCTCAGTGAAAGTCCTTCAGAGGACTCTGACTGGCAAACACTGATAAGTGGTTACTCACATACTCCTTTAGACATAAACCATTGACCAATCTGGGACTAAGACTGGACCTAGCCGCACCTAGACTCCTCTCTGAGAAGGAGCCTAGAAAGCAAGGGGGTCCTTTCTGAACCTTGTGACTTGGCGTGAGGGCTTCCCTCAGTCATGTGCAGACTCATACTCTTAATGCAACAGAGACATGAGAAAAATTCTGAAATGGATTTAGCTTTACTAACAAGAAATCTGCCTTTAATGTTTCAGAATTATTTTTTTCCTCAGAGGTACAGCAGTGTTGTGATTTAGTGTCTGATTTAGCACTGACCAGTTACTCTGTTCTTATTGATAAATAATACTCCCTTCACAATTAGTTGAATGTTGTAAATACAGACTTCAGCATCTCCAAAAGAATGGGGGACGTGGCATCCATAAAACAAAATCTGTACAGAGAATTTCATGCGTCTCTATTTCTCCATCTTTTGTCCTAAAACAGTCTAGAGTAAATCTTTCTGCAATATAAAAATCCTATCCAGACTGCACTTTATCCAAATGGGTTCACAAAACCCAAGATGATGTTTTTTCAGTCATGGAGAGTCATGATAGAGGTGTCAGTGGTTCTTTGGTAAATTACAATCCTACCTGACTTTCTCCAGAATTAGACTTTTGTTTCTAAACTTGGATAAACTAGGCTGAAAAAATTTTTAAAAATCAGCATGCCAAATCTTGAAAATTCATTTTATTTCCTTTATTTTTGCAAGCTGTCTATTCTCTACAGCTGTCAAGTAAAAAACACATGATTAGCTGATGTGTAAAAATTAAGGTTTTTTGCTGCAGCCTGGACTGTCACTGTTGAAAATTAGTCTGATTTCTTTGTCTCCTGTGTACGCGTATAGCTTTTATCTAGATACACTATAGTAAAGGTGATCCTAGGAGCTATGAGGTTCACACTTCTTTCTGTTAACAGTATGTAATTTAAGATTAGTAGTTCAGTGTCTGGGCATCAGTTTGCATGTCTGAGAAGTAGTGATGGTAGTATCATCCATACCATATTCCATGCCTTTAACTTAGAGTTTGTCTTGTGAAATATGTTAATCTCTGTGTGGTTCCCTTCAGAGCTGTAAGTAAAGAATGGTCCATTTGTCATTTTTTAACAACGTGCATGTGCCTGGTTTTCCTCACAGGGAGAGGAGAAATTCAGAGGCCAGATTATTTCTCCCTTTGTAGGCACTAAAGCAGCACTTAGGGGCTATGAAAGTGGAGCACATGGTAGAGCAGTTCACTGATATGCAGTCTGTGTATTTGAAAGCGCTGAGAGCTAGGCAGGCTAAGCACTGAAAGGTACCTAGCTGATAACTAACAAACTCTTCCTGGTCATTCCTGGGTAAATTTTGCTACTGTTAGACTGGGGATAAATTGCTCAGAGGAGTGACAGCACGTGTTTACAGCTGTCAAATCAGAAAGCTTGTTTTGCCACAGACTATTTCATAGAAAGCTTAAGTGCTGTATCTGTTACTATGCTTGTGCTGTCTATATGTATTTCGTGAAGCTAGCTGATGACTTCCAGATCAAGGATTTTGAGGGATTTTTGCCATTCATTGATACACATGCAGGACTATGCTAATAGGGTGTTAATTAAATAGCAATGTATTATGTTTGAACATGAAAACAAATGTGCTAAGCCTCAGGGTCAGGGGCTTGCTTTCTTAAATTTGAGTGTATACATGGGAGCCCAACTGAGAAACAGATCTGATGTTTTATAGGAAGAAAACTAGAGCTTGATCCTTACGTATTGCTCTTAGGACTGGAAGATAAATTGTTGCCTGTGTTTTTTTCCACCAGCATTCTTGTTAACTGATCTATGTGCTAGTTGGATTACAGTATAACCCAGACTTCTTGCTATATGGCAGCAAATTTTCAATTTCATTTATCAAATGTGCTCATGTCAGTTCTTACTAACTCTTTCTTCTAGTTCCTGCTCCCATGTCTTCTCATGAAGTGCTGAAAGAGTCTGCCACAGAAGTGCGGGTTCTTCCCAACTACTCCACACCTCAAAAATCAGATTCCTACTTTAATCCTAAAATGAAACTCAACAGGTAATAGAACAGGGGGTGGGGGATGCACCAGAGGAGTGGTGAGTTTGTAGTGAAAAATACTCATGTGCTTTGAAAAGCAAACCCTGCAAAACTTCTGTTCAGAGGGCAGGAGAAACAGTTTTCTACCAGAAAACTCTTGACAAGTAATATTTAAACCCAAGAACACTATGGGAAATATTGTAATTTCTGAAGTAATATTTTTCTATAATGAGTAGTTTATGGAGAAGAACAGGTTTTGAACAGAGCATACTAGAAAACTAACTTCATTGTATACATTTAAGATGTTCCTCTGTGAATCTCCACGAGATACTATGGATATCCCTGTTCTCTCTAACTGAACAGCAGCATACCTAGAATTTACTTTTCATATTTTAGGCTTTTTTCTCTGGGACTCATTCTCTTAAGTATCTTCTCATTATTTGCATTTAAAAAGATGAAGGAAGAAACATTGCCTTTTTTCTAAGGAGAGTCATAAATGGTGTCTGCACCACAACTGAAAGGTGTGAGCATTGACATGAATGCATGGGACTGCGCTTCAGCCTGTGCTGAGCCCCCATTTCTCAGTGCTGTTAATACCTGAAAGCTGTGAAAGCAAAGGCATGCCTCTGAAGAAGGCCACTGCAACTAAGGTTACAGCCACATCTAAAAGAACAAGGCCTGTTCCTCAACACAGTGGAATTATTTTGCTCTACAATAATTTCTGACATCTTTTTTAACACAGAGGCATTAGTAGGGTAGTGTCAGATTGTGCTAGGAAAGTAAGAAAAACACTAGTTTGAATGTTAGACACTGTACCAGTGTTAGAGTAACTAGTAAGTTGATTCAGGATCTTACCTTATGAATATCTTGCTGAAGAATTAAACTTGTAAAATGTAGAGTTTAGCTTAAATGTGCCAGTATTATGTTCAAGAAATAAATAAGGAGGACGAAGGAAAAGTATTTTCCCAGCTTACGTAGGATGATCATTCTTTCTTTTTTATTTTCAAGGCAATTGATATTCTGCGCGCTAGCTGCTCTAGCTGAGGAACGTAAACCGATAGAATGTTTGGATGCTTTTGGTGCTACCGGTAAAGTGAATTTCTTTAATCTCTTGGCTAATATCCAATAGTATGAAGCTGTAGAAATCAGTAGTAACCAACATTATGTATTCAAAAATAATGTGAGGTACACAATATTGGGCTGTTCAGAAATTAATTGCTGATTTCAATCTGTATGTTTGAAGTGGCATATGTCAGAATAAAATTTATTAATCGAAATAAAAGCCATTAGAATCAACACATTTTTTGCCAATGAGAAACAAGCATATTTATTCTGGTTGCCTCAAATTCTGGACTTCTGGAAGCGATGAAGTCATCGAAGTTAGTTTCAGCCTCCCCTTGGTTTCTGAATTGTCTCCTGCACAGGAAGCTGTCAAGATGCTTGAAGAAGTGATAGTCGGTGGGCGAGACGTCTGGTGAGTACGGTGGATGAGGCAGAGTTTCATAGGCCAGCTCGTTCAACCATTGCAGCGTCGAAAGTGCAACGTGTGGCTGCGCGTTATTGTGGAGAAGGATTGGACCCTTTCTGTTGACCAGTGCTGGACGCAGCTGTTGAAGTTTCTGGTGCATTTCATTGATTTGCTGGACATACTTCTCGGCCGTGATCGTTTCACCTGGATTTAGGAAGCTGTGATGAATTAAACCAGCAGCAGACCACGAGACAGTCAACATGACCTTCTTTTGGTGCAGATTCGGCTTTGGGAAGTGCTGCAGAGCTTCATTGCAGTCCAACCACTGAGCTGATTGTCACCGGTTATTGTAGAGCATCCATTTCTCGTCGCACGTCACAATACAGTCGAGAAACGGGTCATTCTGGTTGCAAAAAAGAAGCACCAACGACACTTCAAAATGGCGATTTCTGTGATTCTCATTCAGTTCATGCGGCACCCATTTGTCGATCTTCTTCGACTTCCCAATCTTCTTCAGATGCTCAGAAACAGTTGATATGCTTACCCCAAGTTCTCTTGCAAGTTCTCGAACAGTTGTGCATGTATCTGCTTCATGCCTTCAATTCATCGTCGTCAATAGCAGAAGGATGACTGTGACCTTCTTGATCTTCAAGGTCAAAATCGCCACTTTGAAATTTTTGGAACCAAAGTCGCGCTGTCCGTTTGTTAACATTTCCCTGGCCATATACCTCATTGATGTTTTGAGCAGCTTGCACGACGTTGCATCCAAGTTTGAACTTGTAGAAGTAGATCTGTCGAAATTGCTGTTTTGACATCAGAACTTCAAACCTCCAAAATTTGTCAAAAATGCAGTTTATATTATAATTTAATTATACAGCGTGAAAGTTCATAACGGAAGCTTTTCAAAAATATGTAACAGTATGCCAGTCAAGAAGGTACTAGTCCTGAAACATACAATGAAAATCACATTACAAAATGGAAATTAATTTCCGAACAGCCTAATAATTTTCTTAGCTTCCATTAAAAAAAAAAAGCCCTAGCCATAAGAGCCTGGTATTAGGCCTTTAAAAAGACTATGAAGAATATTAAAGTTATGGGGTCTCCTTAAAAGCAATTGCCTTAATGTCCATAAATTGTCATCTTCCTAAACTTCGGCCCACGTTCACAGATCTCTTGGGACTCCGAGGCTGTGGAATTTGGCTGTAAAATCAACCTGTGGTTTAAAAATAATGATGAATCCAAGCTTTATCAGAATGTCTTCACTGATTACAAAAATTCTGAACATGAACTAAATATGAAGTAGTTATATTAGTGTCTGTTAACCAACTGGAACAAAAATCTGGAGAGATGGGGATTGCTGCCTCATAATCAGCCAGCTACTGTAAACTTAAGGTCATAGTTGAGAACAGCAGTAATTGCTTAGCATTTTGCATAGAAATTCTTGCTAATGAATGTATTGCCATTCTGAACTAGGCCAGACTTCCCAAATGCATCCTGTCCTGCATTTCTACAACATAATCATGGAGTTTACTATGGAAGTCAGCAATAAATACTCGGAGGCAGCCTGAAAATCTGCATGGGGCCTGTTTTCATCTTTGTGTTTTATGGTGGTCTGTCTGCTACACTGGAGTGTTAAACAAGCCAAGGGGCTTTCCTGCAGATTGTGGGCCCAGTTCGCTGCGAAAATCAGGGGGCTTTTGGTCTGTAGCCCCAATTATCATATCAGAAGGTATCAGACATATATGTATCAGAAAAATAGACTGTCCCTTTACATACCCCATTGTCACTCTCTGCTGAGGCAGAAGGTCACCAACACAGTTTTGCAGGAACATGACAAAATTTGCTTCACACGCACTTCTGTATTACAAGTGTTTAAAAGGGTGAATTTTTTTCTCGGGGAGTTCAGCAACCCAGAAACCAATTCCTTATTCTCTCACGGAGTTACAATTCTGTCTTTCCTTAGGTATAATGGGATTACAATGGGCAAAGCACCTCAGAAGTTCTGTGAAAGTTACAATTAATGATTGTAATGAAAATTCTGTGACAATGATTCAGGAAAACTGCCATTTAAACAAAATGAAGGTGAAACTGAATGCTAGGGAAGAAGATAACTATGAAGCTATGGGAGATGGAGAAGAAAATACTGACACCATTGAGGTGACAAAAATGGATGCCAATGTTATAATGCATTTGAGATCATTTGATTTTATGTAAGTGTTGAATGTTTCAGTCAATAATTTTCTGGTTTGATAATGACACACCCCACCCCATCTCACAGTGTGTGATTATTTAGGGAGGTTGGAACAAAAGAATCAACCAACAGTCACTTAATATTTTGGTATTTTTAATTTAATTCTGTTGTCCCAGAAATGGGTGGGAACAGAATTTTAATCTTAAAAATTTTAGAAATTGCTAAATCTGACATCCAGAACAGACTTGAAATGTACATGAAAAGTTTAAGCCAAACTATTTTTTTTTTATAGCTTCATTATCTGTTTGATAAAGAGAAATGTCAACTTAATCTCTTTTTTTTTTTTTTTTTTTTTTTTAAACTTCATAGAATCACAGGCTCCTTTGGGTTGGAAGGGACCTTAAAGATCATGTAGTTCCAACCCCCTGCCAAGGGCAGGGACACCTTCCACTAGCCCAGGATGCCCAAAGCCCTGTCCATCCTGGCCTTGAACCCTTCCAGGGAGGGGGCAGCCACAGCTTCCCTGGGCAACCTGTGTCAGGGCCTCACCACCCTCACAGGAAAGAATTTCTTCCTTATATCTAATCTAAATCTACCCTCTTCCAGTTTAGAACTGTTACCCCTCATCCTATCGCTACGGTCCCCGATAGAGTCCCTTCTCACCTTTCCTGTACCCCCTTTAAGCCCTGGGAGGCCACTCAAAGGTCTCCCCAGAGCATTCTCCAGCTGAACACCCCCAACTCTCTCAGCCTGTCCTCACAGGGGGGTGCTCCAGCCCCCTGAGCATCCTCATGGCCTCCTCTGGCCCTGCTCGAGCAGGTCCGTGTCCTTCCGATGTTGGTGCCCCAGAGCTGGGCCCAGCACTGCAGGGGGAGTCTCACGAGAGTGGAACAGAGGGACAGAATCCCCTCCTCCCTTGACCTGCTGCCCATGCTGCTCTGGATGCAGCCCAGGAGACTGTTGGCTTTCTGGGCAATTCATTTAATTTGTTTAAAGATCCTACCTTGGCATGTTGTTGTGTAGGACTTTATTGCATCTCTTGTTCTATTCCATTTTGCCCCACATTTATTTTCAATTACATGAAGCTAATTCTTCCAAGTTGGGTTTATAGATGCATACATTCAAAACCTATACAGACATAAAAATGATTTGAATTTGTTGATTAATACCCAGATTTAAGCAGCAGGTATTCAGGCTGAAAAATATGCTAATTATTTAGGACACAAACCAGAATGCATACATTTGAAGGTATATTTGGGTTTAGAAGTTTCCCTTTGTTTTAAGGATGAAGATAAGCATCAGGCCAATATTGTTGTAACTTGAATTAATCAGTGGGTCAGGATCCAAATAAAAGGACTTGGCTGGCTTTGTGGTGATGTGTATTTTCACACTTCCCTGGCTCTTGTAATTTAACAAATATTCCAGAGGAATTCATGAGAGGTGTGCTGTAAATTTTAGTCCCATTTCCTCCTTTTGTTTTAAATATGACCATAGGTGAAGATTGTAAAATAGTGTTTTCCTCAGTTTAAAGTCAAACTCTTGAACCTTTATAGATACTCAGTGGTACTTCCTTTCTTTTCAGCCATTTGGACCCCTTTGGAACTTCTGTGAATTATCTGGATTCTGCCTTTTGCAATGTGAGAAATTTTGGAATTGTGTCATTGACATCTACAGACATCAGTTCTCTGTATGCAAAGGCTCAACACGTTGCCCTGCGTCATTATGGGTGTAATATTGTCAGAACAGAGTACTACAAGGAACTGGCAGCCAGAATAGTAATAGCTGCTGTAACAAGGTACTGCTAAATCAGCTCAAATTATAGTAAAAAAATTACTAAAAAATCACAAGTGATAAAACGAAGGACTGCTGCTGTAGGTTGTACGTTTTCAGTTTCCATATTCCCGAATTCTAAAAGCCAGACTTCTTGATACAAAATTAATGTTTCATATTTTATGTGTGCTGGTATGGGATAATGTAAATTTTAAACTAGAAGACTGGGCAAGGTGAAAAAGTATAAATAGGGTGGGGGTTTCAAGTGCTGGGGTGGGATGGTAGCAGAAAGTAATACCCAGACTGTAATGCCTCTATTTTGTCATTTTAGTGCTGCACAGTACTAAATAAATAAACTTTGTAAATGTTAATTAAGCTGCTTGAATGGCTTCTAGCTAAGCATTAGTTAGACTTGCTTCAGTGGAAACCAATGTTCACCTCAGATCCTCATGCTTGAGGTTAAAAAGATATATGTAATTACTAACTTGTGAAATTAGTCATTTGCACATAGATGTTGTCCATAAATTCAGTCTGTTAAATAAGCAAATACATAAACCCTGGTCCCTAATTGGGGGAAAAAAAGATAGAGGCAAGAGGATGCTCAGGAACGTTGGGGAGGAGGTTAAGTGCATGGAGGTCTTCTGAATGCCAGAGTGCAAATGCTGACCTGAATATGTTTAGATTTTTCTTCCCTTTCTCCCTGCACATGTGAAGTTGCTCCCTGCAGAATATTCTTGGATACAGACCTGCTGCTCAAGCAAATTTTTAATTGTGTTCTGAGTTACGTGCTCCAGCTCCCTAAAGATTTCTTCTTCCTTCTCAATGCTTACCTGTTCAGGAACTGCTGACTTGCCTTCACATGGTCCTTATTCAGTTAATATTCGATGATTTACCAGCATGTGTGTCCCTCTACATTTCTACTTTATCAGATTTTAATTTAGTTTCTTTATAGTTTTTGTTACAATATCCTGGCAATAGGTAGGTATTTGGATAGAAAGGTGATGCAGATGGCAGACCAGTATTTCTAAATATAATAAAAAGAAGTAAAACAAGGTTTGCTTAGCCTTACAGGAAGCTAGGCACTTAGGAAACACCCCTTTCTCCTGATCACTTCCTCAGACCTTTAGTATCTCTTTCTAGAAAGTAGATGAGCTCAGGAATCTTCCAGCAGGTGTCTGGCAATCTTAAACTGCTGATTTCAATACAATGAGGCTTTGTGTTTGTTTTCTTTCACAGAGCTGCAGCTCGCTGTAACAAAGGCATTGATGTTTTGCTCTCGGTAGCTCTAGAACATTTTGTTCTAGTAGTGGTCAGAGTTTTAAGAGGACCAAGCCCTGCGGATGATTCGGCAAAGAAAATAAGATACCTTATCCACTGCCAGTGGTGCGAAGAAAGAATTTTTCAGAAAGAGGGTAATATGGTAGAAGGTAAATGGATTTTTCTTTGTACTTTATAGAAGGTCCAATTCCTGTGTCTCTGTTTTGGGCCTTGTTTATTTTTCCCTTCAGTAAAGTAATAATTCCCTTTAATGTAACAATAAGTGTATTGTATGAGGTGGAGAAGGTACTGTGCTTTATGGTAGTGGGTTTGATTTGTTGTCTGCATGGGTTTTGCTATAAATGTACTGGATGTTTCTTGACAGGACAGTTCCAACAAGGTGTAGCTGCTGAAGCTGCCAGGCTGCTGATGTGCCCCTGGATCTGTCCTTTCAGTGAAGAGCAGGAAGAGAGGAACAGTCCTTGCTACTGCTCGGTTCCTCCATACCGCAGCAGCTTGATAGATGGCAGTGACAGATTGCTTTTCTACTGTTCACTGCATTACCTAAAGATGTTGTGGGCTAAAGAGTATCTCTTCCCCCTCAGATGAGGGTGTGTTCTGCCTAGCCTTGGGCACAATCTGCATGTGCCGGAGGGAGGTATCTCAGCAGGTGTGGTAGGAAAGGCCCAAAGCGTTCCTGTAGTTCAGCTAACCCTTGGTGGTAAATGAAGGCAGCCTCCTGGATAGAAGTTGACTGTTTGTGGACTGTCTCTATACATGAGTTATCAGAGGTAGGAGTCAAGAATTAAGCTAGGAGGTGGCTACTAGCCAGATGGTAATTTGAATGAATATAGAAGGAAAAACTTGTTTCAAAATTACAGGTTCTTGGCTATCTAACTTCTAACTGGATGTGTCTTTGCCCTGCTCAAAGTCAGGTGCAGAAGCATGCAATGAGCTTGTTTAAAAAGATTCTAAATAACTTAAAGTACTAAGAACAGAAATGAGTAACTGCTAAGTACAGTGTTATGGTAGAGATCTTAATTAGTAAATGAATTGATTACTTAATGCCTTACTTGCAAGTGAGCTGACTTAAGGCTTAGAAAACTTGTAGGTGGGCTGTATTTTGTAGGTGTAATTGGCTGATGTATGAAATTTTTCTTCTTATTTACTGTTAACCTGGACAGCTACTTATATAGGTGTAGGAAGACTAACAATTGCCTTGTTCCTTGAAATCTGCCAAGAAACATAGGAATTATGTGGCTTTTTAGGTGTGCTTTTTTTCCTTCAAAGTTTGAATAATGATTAAGGATCAAGTCATCAATCACTAAATTCTCACAAGTGCTGGTCAGCAGCAGTGAGAACAGTGTCACACTTCTGCTGTTTCTTGCCCTTTCAAATAGTTCCCCTGAAGTCAGCTACTACTTCCTATCTGTGTCACCTCTCCCCAGTAAAGCGGGCTTTGCTGACTATGTCAAAACAACTGAAATTCTGTTTTTCTGTTGTAGAAAACCCTTATCAGCAGCTGCCCTGCGACTGTCATGGCAGTATGCCTGGGAAGACAGCAGTAGTTCTTGGTCCTCTCTGGTATGTACAGAACTGGAATACAATACAGAACTGGAAAATAATTTAGGTTGGAAGGATCTCTAGAGGTCAGCTGTTCAGCATTACAATAAAAATGCAAGTCTGCTGGATACAAAAGGTGGTATAGCAATCAGAGCAATCCAGGAAACGTTTAATTGATTTGAATTTAGTAGGGTATTCACTTTTTGATTTGGTTTATAGAGTTCAAACCAGTTCATAAATAATAAGTAATTTGCTTTAAATTTCCCACTGAGTGCAATGTGTAATACATCCTGCACTGAAGAACCTGGCTCTGTGTTTCTCTAGTTGCCAAATATTAAGTGACAGTCCATTACTTGATAATTGTGGAGAATTGATTTAGTAAATCCTTACATGTGCTCTTGGTAGTAAATAATACATGGCTTGATAATTAATACTTAGAATTTTCACTTGTGAGAAACAAGAATGAAGCCTTTTGTTAAGTCTTCTAACTATTCAGTATTAAAAACAGTTGACAACTGACAGTGCCTTTCTTGTGGGGGTTAAATTAGTTTCCCAGTGTAGTAGGGCAAGTCAGCGGTGGAAATAAAATTACCATTGTTGAGATCTTGATTTTTTAGATGAGAGCAATGTTACTGTCACTGGAAACAAAGCAATTCAGTATTGCTGAGCTAAGAACACAGCCAGCCTGATTCAGCACTTCGGTGTAATGTAATTGCTGATCAATTTGGGTGAGAGGTTTCTAGAGCAACATTTTGCTTTCATTAGGAAGTGTTAAATTTTCACTTGCTTTGTATTTCATAGGTCAGGAGCCCTCTTCAACACTGGATTCCTCAGGAGAATGTTTTTTGAGGCTGCCCATTATGGTTTGGATGAAGCTCAGTCACTTTTGAAGACATTAGTTTGTGAAGCTGAGTGCACAACTTTAAAACCTTACTCTATCTATAGTTCTTATGATGAGAACAAACAAGGTAAGAAGGATGACTGTTCACAAGAAGGGCTAGCTTTGTGGTGATTGAGAGAGGTTCTGCTCTTTGATAACAAACAGCAGTGTATATGTCAAGAAAATGTAGCTATGATTGCAATGTGGGACTTGTCAGCTTTTGTCAGATGGTCTTGGGTGCTGCAGAGAGAGTGGGGTCTGTCAGAGGCAGAATGGAGACTTGGAGAGCTTTCAGCAGTGTGCCAGGTCCTAAACCAAGTAACCTAACACAGGCAGGTTGCCTGCCATGAAATCCAGAACGTTCCCCAAAGGAGATGGAATAATGACATGTCTGCTAGTTCTGTGGTGTATCCCGATCCCAACCCTAGCGCGCGTGCTGCCCAGAAGAGCGCTCTAGCTGTCATTTTCTGCACACTCTGCAGGGATTGCAAATCACTCTGCCAAAAGAAACAGCTTTCTGTATGGGAATGATGTTCTATTAAATTAAATTGTATTTGAGTACCCCCTCTAAATTCACGTTACTGAGTTAGTAAGTAAAAGTTACCTGTATGTATGCTTCTTACTACACTTCCTTCTTTAGGCCAGAATGTGGTATTATTTCTTTCTGTTTAACCAAGCCATTTTGCCATTTTACTGTCTTACGGTAAAATTAATTTTGACTTTCAATTGTATTGTAGAAGAGTGTGGCGTATATATTAAAACACCAAATACTTCTGCAGAATCTCTCTTGATACACGGTAAGTAGATAATTTTGGTGTAGCTTTAGAAGTTTCAAATTAAACTATAGTTAAGTGATGGTTAAGCCAAACTCGTGTTCACATCTTTTTTTATATTTAATAATACTGATAGTCAGGATTTATTTTCCCACTGCACACTGATTTTACTTTACCTTCATTCAGAGTCATAGTCACTGGTAAAAGTGGAGTGCTAAATACTCCACGAAGTCTTCTGAGTTAACTTTTTTATTTCTGAAAATGGCATATTAATTAAATTCAGGCTTGGGTTTAACTCTGCAAAATACTGGCTTATAAAAGCAGACACAAAGGTGTAGTTGCTGTGTGGCTTTTCTTCGTAAGTACTCTTCGGCTTCACTGGGTTTTTTGTAGTTCTGATGAATATTCACTGGTTTCTCTGGCATTTTTTTTGTGGTCCAGGAAAAAGAAAAAGTGAAGAAGTTGTTCAAAATGCAGGCAAGCGACAGAAATCTGAGAACAGTGCTGAGCACCCTGCATTTTACTACAATATCCACAGACACAGCATTAAAGGAATGAACATGCCAAAGTAAGGTTTTTGTTTTAAGTTTCAGTCTTGCATTGTTACGACAACTGATACATAACTTGTGTTGAATCAGCCTTATTAGTATCAACTCTTTCTTAAATGTTTTGGTGGGTTTTTTTTCAGGTTGAATAAGTTCTTAAGCTATCTCTGCGAAGCTGGATACAGAGTAAGCAGAACCCACTTTGACCCTATGGGAGTTCGCACGAATGCGCCCTTGGCACAATTTAAGACTATCCTGATGAAGTACAGTGCTCCCACCTATACGGGGGGGCAGTCGGAAGGCCCTCTCCACCTAGCTGAAGGTGTCCAGGCAGGAGAACAGGTTGAAGCTGCTGCAGACAGCAAGGTGGAAGATGATACTGAGTCTGTGGAGTACGATAAATCCGAAGTCGCTGCCACCACGTTGGCAAAAGCCTGCCCAACTTACTGTGCAGCCGACTAACTTGCGGCCCTTGGCTTATAGATCAGGATATTGCAGACTCGCAAGCACACCCTGTTCAAGTAAGCCAGTACTTCTTACCAAACTGGATTTTGAAAATTTGGGTTACCTGCTACTTTAATTTGGAAAGATGTTTTAGAATTACGTAGCAGAACTTACCCCTGATCAGAGCATGTGTGGTCAAGGTACTGTTACTCCGAGATGGCCTCAGACTTGCTTTTATGCTCACACCCCCCTTCCCACAGAGGTACTGTGGCTGTTCCCGACTCTGTGGAAGCCTCACCTGTAGCGCAGAATCCAGAAGGGTGGATGGGGCCAAAAGTCTTAAGCAGTTCTGAACAGGAGGTTAATACAAACCAGAATATTCCTGAAATGACCCATTCCTAAAACCTGACTAGTTACAAGCCAGAGGGAAGTCATGTTAAGATGATGATCTGAGTTTAAGCAAGCCTGGCTCTGTGCACTTCTAACTCCAGACTGCATGTGTCATTTGGCATTCGGTTCTGTTTTCATAGTTCTGCCTACAAGCAAGGACCTAACAGCAGTGAGAAATGGAAAGAAAAAGGAAAGAGACTATTACTGGAACTCCAGTTTATAACCAACCTTTAGTGAATTGTATTAGTCACCCCAGGTAGTTGTTTGTTCAGAGATTACAGTTGGCTGTGTACTGCAAAAAGGTACAGGGACAAGGCAGCTTACCACAAGCTAAAGTTCAAGGTGAAGTTTTGCTATGAATTTGTCAATAATACAACCTTAGCTGTTAGAAAGATCTCTTCTGTGAGCAAGCAGAAATGCTGCGTGTTGGTACTCTGTTCTGGTTTTCTGAAATACATGGCAGCATTCCAGCCAAAGAAGCTTGACTTTGTCCTTTCTTTCCCCCAAACATTGTTCAGATACCTCCCTCCATATAGAGCACATGAATTGGGAACAGCTCTCACAACTGAACTAGTTCCAGTTTTTCACAGGTTTGGTGTTCAGCCTGGCCAGCTGGGGTTATCTAAGAGCAGAATACAGTAGTATTCTTATTTATCCATCTCTGAAATTGCACATGAGTACTGGTTCTCTCTCACTGAACGCCAACCCAGAGTAATGTGACTGACACACTCCTGATCATGCAAAACTTCCTCAGCTCCTGGCAGGCCAGAATTAAGTTACTGCCTCTTACACCATCTTAAATTTAAGGCTGTTTTGGTGATGAGTTATTTTCAACATGTACTAATTAAACAAAAGAGGACACCACTAAAGGGATAATAGATTGCATTGCAGCAGCAATACAGCAACAAACGTTTCCTTCAAAAATTTAGTGCCTGTATTTCTTTTCCGAAGATAACTTGGAATCAAACTGGAAAGACAGATGCAAAGAGAAAGAAAAATTAGCATTCCCTAGTTGTTCTGAACTAAGTATGTATTTTTTTTAAGTGGAGAGACTGGTGGAAGACTTTGCTTGTAGGTAAGGCACTGCTCACTTCAGTGTTAATATAAGTGAGATAGAACCAGTCGGTTAACTGGAGCAAAAGAGAGCGTTCCAATTAAAATACAGTAGGCTAAAAAGAAAGCTTAACTGAAGCCTGTTGTGGGAAATATTTTTTATTACTTTTACAGCTTCTCACTAACAAAGTATTGTGTAGCTTTTCCAAGTCAAAGTAACTCTTCTTTAGTGTTTGCAGCTGTGCACAAGGAGGGGCAGAGCAAGTGGAGTTCAGGCCTGTCCCTACAGTTGAGGCTTTTTTCCTGTGTCTGATGGGCAGAAGTGACTATAATCTGGGCCAAAGTGTTTTGCCTGTTGTAAGGGACTAGCAGAAGGGCTGTTTGTGACTCAGGCCTACAAGAATTCTCTTTTCAAGTGTTGTCTCAGCTGTTCATCAGGTAGGGTCAGTCCCACACTAATTAGTAAATAGAAAACTGGTGCTGGTTCAGGGCTGTTGTTGGGGGGCTGCTTCTTATTCCTTGACTCAGTGGGAAGGCAGGAGTTGTCCACTGTCCTCATGGTGCAGGGAAGCGGGGTTTGGCTGTGCCTCTGGCCCTGAGGGTATGCTCAATGCACAGCAGCAGCACCCCAAGTTATGGATAATCCATATTGCTGCGGCCAGTTACGGCAGTAGGAAACAGAGTGGTAAATGAGTTGAGAATGCAGGTGTGGCTGGCAAGGTTGCTGCTGCATGTTAAGTTCTTAGGGCTTGTTAAGATCTTCTGTTCAGCTGTGATTCAAGGAGCTTAAAGCTTCTTTAAGGGAGTTAAAGCTGTTCAAAGAAGGCTCCGAGAACCAGGGGCAGCCCAGCAAGCAGCAGCATAGTCATGAAGGGACCTTCCCCAGTCAGAGAGAGTAGTCACTACATCTCCAGAAACCCTGCTCTTAGCCTACACAAGCATTCCCTCTTAATTCCAGGTGCATCTTGATGGTTAAAAGTTGTAGTAACTGTTGAGATAAAAGCAGGAAAGGAATGTAACCTTTTTTTTTAATAATATACCTCAAGAGCTTCGTTACACTTACCCTACACTGTTTTCTGTTGGAGCTGCTTAATACACAGTTGAATACAACTACAGTTTCTGGGTTTAACATGAGTGTTGTGAAAACCTTCACCCTGTTTCTGGGGCACCAGGACTCAGTTAGCACAGCAGCACTCAAGTAGGGCTCTGCCAGAGCTGCTCTGTATCTTCTGCCTGCCCCTGAGCTGGTTTCAAAGGGCTGGGGTGATCAGCTGCAGCTTCTGGCCCTTCCCTCCAGGCTGCCACAAACAAAACTGGCTGAAGGGTTTCTCTGATGAATCGTAAGAGGAAACAGCACTGGAATTTCCAAGAGGTTGTTAACATTTTTGCTTTTATTGTCAATTTGAGAATTTCAGTGTGACTTTAATTTGATACCAGAGCTATCAGACTTACCCGTACCTAACACGTTACGTACTTTAAAAATAGCATGGCTTTAAAAGGTGGAAGAGTAAAGTAATTTTGAAAATAAAATAGTTTATAGCACTAAAGAGTCACAGTGCAATCAATGGTTTAATAAAACAACTACATTATATATATAGTACTTAAAGAACATAAATATTCAGTAAATTCACTACAACATGAAAATAAAAGCTTCACATTCTCCCACGCTTTTTAAAGAACTGGGGACAAAGTGACAGACAGCTCCTAGACAGACTGCTCAGCTTCACAAACACCTCTCTTGCTTAAGGGACTGGACATTACCTTAGCTATCACAATGGGAAGGTATGCTGCAACTAATCTAGAAGTTTCTCCTTAAATTTTAAAGCATTTATAATCACAGCTCCTCCACCCCCCAGATTATATTTAGTGGACATGCACTACTAGTCTATACAACGCAATGTTTCACCAGAAAGTAATGAATAATGTTATTTCTTTAAAAACTGCCCCCTCTGTGTTCCGGGGCCTGAAAGCTTCCATTTCATGGCACAAAAAACCCAAGTCTTTCCAGTAAGATAAAATAATTAAGTTACCTAAAGAAGCCTGTGGAGTTTTCACATCAGGATAAAGCTGATTTGGAATGGACACGTATTTACAAGTGCTAGGCTTGAAAGACGGAAGCGAGGGAGGGCTCCTTCCTTCCTAAGAGAATCCCCGAGCGCCTGAATACCTGCGTACCACGTGCCCAAACCAGTCTGACTACAGGCAAGACAGCAATCAATACCATACAGTTTAGAGGATGTCACTTCTCACGTATCCGCCACATTTTTTTTTTGCTTCTAGCTCCAGGTGCAACAGGGTAAAGGCTTCATCAGCAAGTCTTAGAGCAAAGGGAATCTGGCGGTCATATCGTTTCCCTTCAGACACAATGCCAAGAGGTAGAGCAACCCCCATTAAGTGACAGCAAGGTCCAGAGCGAGGGAAGAGGAGTTTAACATGCAAATGAACAGCAGCTACTGGACTTCACACAACAGCCTACTGCCAAGTTTTAAAACTTGAACCTATATTTAAGACACTAAATGGTAAACTTTGTCAAGTACTAAAATTGTCTTCAAAAGTGCTAAGCCACATTTGTTAAAGCTATGGGAAAAAAAAAAAAAAAGAGGAAAAAAATTTAATAATATAATCTTCAAGCAGCTTACGGTTGAAGTCCTCCCTACTCAAACTGAAGCCCAGATAAGCTCACAGCTGGGGTAGCACCAATTCCATAAAGCAAAGCATTTCCATGTTACATTATGTCTGTGAGGTGGAATTTCGGGGATTTGCTTTAAAATATTCTTTACAGAAGATTCCAATACATTCGCTGCAAGAATCTGTTATTGTAGGGAACAGAGCAGGGCTGTAAAACTTGGGGAAGATTTTCTCCAGTGGATCTCATGAGGGCAGGGTAACACTGCAGCAGGGCCAGACAGGAAGCTGCAGTGTGCATCGGGATTGGCATCTTCTACATGAAGGAGAGTTACAGGTTTGGGTTGTTTGGGGTTTTTTTTGTCCAAAATACTTGTTAAAAAGCAAACCAAATCTCATGAATCACCTTACACTGAGTTAAAACACTGTTTAAAACAGCAAGGTTTTAAAGTGTCAGTTTTCTTGCTACAGCTCTATTTGTTCACAAGAAAATGACTAATAAATCTTTTTCTAGGGAATCAGATTACCTCTAGCTGCAAGACTATCAGAAATCAATTCTCTACCATTCTTTTATATGGATAACCATTAGCAAAGTACAACATTTAACACATTCCTTGGCATATGTTACTATTGAATAGACTTACTTAGCCATCCAATGCTCAATACTTCACAGAGGCTACTATAACTGTGTCAAATGTATTAGAAATCCAGATTTACCTGGACAAAATTAAGACATTCCAAACTGGAACACTCGTTCAGTTATCATGCATTAGGAACAAAAAAGCATGTCAAACACTGGAATGCACTGGAGAAGGTCATTTAGTCTCCTAGGGAAAATCCAAAAACCCAAAACAAAGACTAAATTAAATACAACCCAAAATACTGTCTAATCATATTAATAAGTATACTGAGAGAGCCTGAAGGCATTACATGTATTGTTCATGAAGATAATGGTGGTGCCTTCTTGTAATATTAAAGAAGTCATAGCTATAAAAAGAGTTAGTCCCATTCCAGTTTTCCAGAAAAGCTTATTTATGTTCCTTTGTTGGTGCATAGTACAGTTCCATGGGTTTGTTCACTTTCCAGTACTTCTCACTGACCAGTTCCAAGGAAAAGGACCCATTCAGTACCTAGAAGGGAACACCAAAACAGAAATTAAAGAAACCTGATGGCTTGCACAGGTAGTACTGTAGCAACAGAAAACTACTGAAATCAGAGGAGCTGACTTAAAAGAAGTCACTGATGTAGAAGAAGATACTGAATAACCAGTCGGCCTCAAAAAGCAACAATGCAAGCTGGGCTGAACTCATGTCACAAAAATGGCACCAAAAACCACTTTGGCAAAGTAAATATAGTAATAAATTAAGTGAACTTGAGTTTTAATCTGCAAACAGAGGGAGCAGATGTGTATTTACACCAGAAGCATCTCTGCTTTTGTCTAAGGGACCATCTGCAGTCATGGGTGAAAGCTGTCTCTTGCTAAGCATCTGCCTGTCTCTTAACCAGAAGACTTACTTATTTTAGTCAGATAAGTACCCACGTGTAAGAGCAGGCTCAGAGTTCAATCTAACTGCGGTATTGCCTTGCTGTTGTATCCATATATTCTGAAGCCAGCAGCCGAGTGGGGGAATTCTTCCCTAGGAGAGGATGAGAAGCCTACACGGGAGTGGACAAATGCCACCTTACAGCAGACACTTCCTGGTGCTAGAGCTATCTGCTCTTGAAATAAGATTCTCAGACGAAGTAATGTTGTTCCTCTTCCATTTTAACTGTAAGTCAGCTCGTAGTTGCTGGCATCACTGGATTTTCCCAAGTAATTTATGTGCCTCCTTTTCTACTAATGAAGCTTTTGATGTATATGTTTTCCTATAAAGCAATTGGTCTGCTTCTAAATAAACTACCTGGTGCTATGCATTTTACCCTAAAGTCAACTCAGGAAAGTCCAGCTGAGTGGATTTTAATCAGATCTGTATCAAAGATGTATTAATGCTCAGTTTTACTCTTGGACAGAAGTTCTACTTACAGTGAACTGCCCATTGGCAGTAGCAATGTAAATGGTATACTGCTTCTCACTGGCCGTGTCGAGGTTCATCTGGTTTGATTCTCCTTTGCTACGAAGCTCCTCCAAAGCCAATCTCACAGCCAGGTACTTGGACAAGTGATCAACGGTGGCGTTGCCCGAGGTCTTGATGTATCTGTGACAACAACCACAAAGATAATCAAAGACATCTGAGTTGCATGTATGGGAAAAGGCATTGGAACATCCCAAATACTCAGCTTCAAGTCTGAAAGGCCTTTAAAGACAGTTCCCAAACAAGAATATTGTTTTCAGCCAAGACAGGCAAGCAGCTCACCAAATTACACTGTTCCAAAGCACCCTTATACCTTTTTGACACTTCTCCCACAGGCCCTCCTGTTCTTTGTAGAGAAGACAACACTTCCCTCTCATCTGCTCAAAATGAAAAACCTAGTAACAGGTTGTCAAAAAGTTCTGAGAACTGCTCATGACTGCTAAAATCTTTGGAGCGTAGATACAGCCTGGAGGGCCTGGACAGAAAGCCATAAGGTGCAAGAGCTACACACGCAACACACTGCACCTCATTAAAGTTACTCTACCCTATTGTCTCACTATCTGTTCTCACTTCAATTCTTCATGCAAGAATTAAAGGCTGACACAAATGCTGCAGAAGCCTCTCCCGGAAGCTTAGCTTTCTCTTCACTGTTCAGAACAACGTCCAGAAGTCCCTTGCAATTCCAAACCAAAAAGAAAAGCTGGCGGAAGCTTATGATATATTTATAGGCACTATAAAGAGATGTCTCACCAGGAGAGAAAGCCAGGAAGAGATCTGAGGAAACTCCACGAGACTGCTCATTGCTGTGATCCAAAATTTGCAGTCTGTGCTTGGACTGGATCATGAAAAAAAAAAAGCCAAGAAAAGCTTCCAGCCTACAAATCTCGCCGACACAAAGCCGCTCTGAAAACTGCCGACACTTACACAAGGTTTTTTTATTCCTAAAGAACCTCATAATAAGTAGAAAGGGGCTGATACTATACCATCATCTTAGTACCTACTGTGAACTGCAATGCTAGAAAGCCTTGAAAACATCTTTATTTGTGATCAAAGGCTTAACACATCTACCTGACTTGCAATGGAAAGAGGGAAAGAGTGCACATGATTAAACAGGATGTGGTATGACCAAAGTATTTAAATTGATTTTTAAAAGTTCCAAGGAACGATAGAGAACAAAACCACCAGAAAACATCATCAGAATTCATGGAAAGGAAGACATTTACCTTGTCTGTGCACTGTCATCGTTCTCCATGAGGGTTGGATGAGGCCTGAAGACTAATTCAATTTCACTAGCACCATCCATTACGGGGTCTATTGACACAGTTGTGTTGTTATTGTCCAGTTCTAGCCCAGAATCATCTGATGTTTTGGTCCTCTTATTGCTAGGCCCTGCTTCCTGATTGCTGTGTGTTGAGGCATTGCTACAGTGTGAACTGTCACCATTATCTTCTGCTCCACTGCCATTCTCAATCTGTTGTTTCTTGCCCCTCTGTAGCCTGATCAGAAATAAGTAGAAACACATGCTAATCCACATTCAGAATTCACCCAACATAGAGGTCCACAGTGCATGTACAACTCCTCCCTCTCCTGGTGTCTGCTGTGCCGGATGTTAGACATATGCACACACAAGCACTAAACATTTCAGAGATATTTAAAGAGGGTTTTAAAATTAATTATTTCTTATAAAGGAGATATTCAAAGACAAGACTGGATTTTTTCCTATCCCCCAAACACCTTTTAGACATAGTTCAAGATAATTTAAGTCATATAGTTATTTTTATTTTTCAGGCAATTTCAGATCATTATTTTCATCTAAATATAAATCCACGTGTGATTAGGAATACAAATCACCACAACAAAGTTTGGGGCCTCCTTCCCAGATGGCGCTCTTACATTTAAATGCACACCTAGCATTTCACTACTGTGTAAACACCATCTATTCCAGCCTTGTGAATTAAGTCACAGTGAAAACCTAAGTTCTAGCATTATGTGCATTTCTTTGCATGTAATGGCAATACAGTGGTACAGAATTCATTACAGTTTGTTATCTAAGACATGACAGCCATAATTTGGTAAAGCTAGGCTGAAATCTGTTGTCTACACCAGGCTGCCACAGAAGTTGCAAGGAGCAATACAAAGGTTTCTATTAGTGGACAAATGGTTAAAAATTGTTTTGCCAAAGATTAAAAATTATTTTGGCAGACTTCAGCAGAGAGAAGAGGAATCTCAAGCTATGCAGGGAGTGAGGACAGACATTGTATTTTTAGTGTTAGGGCAAACAAGGTTACATGCGGACAAATTACGTGGATTACATACCTGTTCATAGCCTGAATCTTTAATCCCTCCTCAATGCTGTGACTCAGAGCTTGCTGGTTATTGTGCTTGCTGATTCTTGCTAGAACTCTCTCCTGATGAGCTTCATATTCATCTCGGCTTGGATAAATTTTACTGATGAGAGCATCAAAATTGGGATCTGGTCTCAGTGATCTTTTCGAAACTAGCTTTTTACGACACGTGGGACATTCTTTGTTGCTGAACATGAACAAGAAGGGAGAAAACAGTACTAACTCTCTGACAGTAACACCACTCTGCCCTAATGCCTCAATTCTTAGCCAAAGTGCTCACTAAGTCTTAATATTTCTAGTAAATCTGGCATGGGGCTTCTATCTTTTGACAGCTCAGGTAGTTCCAGATATTTATAGAAAAACCCCAAACATACATCTCCCTGCTTTTATTTTTTTTTTTAAAGTATGTTTAAGCAAACTGTATTTAGACTGAAAAGTTCAAAAGTTCCACTCTGCAAAATGGTTCTTCTCCCTGGCTGGATTTTCACCTAGAAAAAAATGCATGTCTGATGGAAATTATATTAAGACACAGTCTTTCTAGAACTCATGGGACAAAACAAAGGTTAAGGAAACTACTCTATAGTTCAAGCACTAATTACTGGGAAAAGTAAAACTCTTGTCCTACCTACCATTTTGTCCTCATTTAACTGAAATGTCAGGTTCACAAATTTTTTTTCCTGTAAGATGAAGAGGCCTCAATAGCTGAATACTGGTGTCTTTACTCCTGATGGTTTTCTTGTTTCCCTCTAATGTATTTTTGCTAATTACTCATCAGAATTTACACAGATAGAGCAAATTAAGTGTGACCACTGAACCCAGGTAATTGCCATTATTGGAAATAGATGTATCACTGACTTAGTTGATGTTGGTTACCTCAGAATTCTATTGCTTTTAGGAAAATATGAACTCGTAACTGAAGCATACAAGAAAAAATATTTGCATAGGTTGTTTCAGTAGTGAAGGTTGGAAGCCGGACCATTGCTGAAATGCCACATAATTTGCAATCTATTATTAGGAAGAGTAAGGGCTATGAGACTCATTTTTGTAATTAATGTAGTATATTTTTGTATTTAAAAAAAAAAAAAAAAGAAGAGGCAGAGAAGAGGATGAGGAACAGGAGGGAAGGGAAGGCCAAGCCAGGCAAGGGAAGGGAAGATGAAGAGGGGAGGGGAGGGGTTTTCAACTCCCTACAAGAAACCAAGTTATGGGATGATTTTTCCTATGATGAAAAAAACTGAAATATGAAAGGTGTGCTACACATTCAGAAACTTGCAGTGCACAAGTGTGTAACTGTTCCACATCGACACCCGGGACTTAAAGGATTTCCTTGATCACATTTTCATCTTAAGTGAAATCCCTTTTCCCTGTACTAATATTTACATACCCACTCCTGAGGGCTGTAATGATACAGTCAGCACAGAAGCGATGCAAACATTCTTTTGTCGTCATGGTGTTTTTTAACATATCCAAACAGATGGGACACATTAGCTCACTGTGTAGGCTCCTGGGTGACACCACTATTTCCAAGCCATCGGTGATTGCTTCCTAGCGTAAAATAAAGTAAACATTCTCTAATTGAATTTAGTAACTTGCTCACGGAGACTGCGTGTTTTACTATTCTTTTAAAGAGAAACACAATAAAAAGATAAAACAAGACACATATAGAACCACATCAAGCATACACACCCATGCTGCTAAGGAAAGGAAAAAAGAAATACAGATAAAAAATTATATTTTTTCTAAATATGAGAGAGGCTTTGTTTTTGGAGGATTTTTTTTTAAAGATTCTGTCCTTTAGACAGTTAATACTCCTACAGGAATAATCAAATCTTAAACATCAAGCTTCAAGTTCTACAAAGTATTAAATAAAAGCCCTGCCATGAAGACCAGCTCTTTAGCACATATTAATTACCTGAGGTGTTCTTTGCAATTCATACAAGCTAAGCTCCCATGTTTTGCTTAAAGGTTGTGTCCCATTCGTCTGGACAGCTTGAGACATGGCTGGGAAGACAAAGAGATGCAAGTTGCACACTGGTGTACCTCTGGCTGCAGGCACCTGCTGCCTCTCCCGCGGCGAGCGCGCCATGCCTGCGGCCACACAGACACAGTGGGCTCTGGGCCACCAGCGCAGCAGCCCAGGGGCTACACTCGCTCAGCCACGTACCAGGCTTCACTATGCTACACACAGATAATCCCATGCTCTGTGCCACTCCAGAAAATAAATGAGGAAGTCAGTCAGCCATGAACACTTTGCAAAAATCAATTAAGGCTGTCAAACAAAAGCGACATAAGACCTGAAGGCCATAAAATTTCAGCTGTGTGGTGTGAAGGCTGCAAATGACACCTGATGCAGAAAACATTCATAAAACATCCACTTACAAACATGCATTCGGGTCAATGAAGGTCTACTTCCTAACCAAGTGGAAGGTCAAAATTATGCATGCACACAGAAAACTAGCTAAACGTGTTCACTGGAAGCACACTATAATGCCTTTCTTTCTCCTCCTGAAAATATGTCACTAGGGGTTTCCAATCAGAAGTTTAGAGAATACTGGAAGGTCAAGTAAAACCTAGTCATCGGATAATTTCAATTCAGTTTTCCTGTGCAATCTTGGTCAGTGAAGGCACACCTCCAATGACTTGGGGGAGGAAGTCAGAAGTTTTTAAGTTTCAGAAACCCAAATCATACACACATTATCAGGGTTTTGCTCATTTGTTGTTAACAGTATTGGTAGACAGGCACTCTTGGAAATGGTCAGGGCTAGAAATAACTGCACTCACAGACACACACCACAATCACTGCTGCAGGGTTTGCTTACAGGCAAAAGGCACGCATCACCTAAAAAAAAAAAAAAAAAACCACACAAAAAAAACCCCAAAATGTAATTAAAACACTCAAAAAGATCACACAGAGAAACTGTAATGCTTTCCCATGAAAATTCTGGGATTATTGTACAAGATGATGAGGTAAAATTACCACTTGTGGTCACTGCAGACATGTAAAAGAAAGGTCAAAACAACAGAAGAAAAAGATGTTTCTAAACAGAAAATATTTTTACAGTGGGGATAAGGGGGCAATCCTCATCTCTCCAAAACTGCCTGCCTTGAAGGAAAACTTATCCCAGACTGTTGGTATGTTTAAAAAACTAAATGTAACCATGTAAGAGACAAGATTGCATTTCTACTAGGGAAAAAGCAGAAGTGCTTTTGCCCTTCCTTCTATTGCTTTTTTTTTAAATCTAGGTTTGTATTTCCAGATCCTTCAAATCAGCAGCCAAATGCAGATTCTACTGGTATCTACCAAGTACATTATAATTTCTAATTTCTACTATCATTTAAGGTAATTCCAAGCATACAAAAAGTCAAGTCCTTCCACGTAAGGATTTTTGTTACGTGTTGTAGTCGGTTGCTCTAACAGAGGCCCAGCATTACTATTCTGCATCTGCACTCGATACTATTCCTGAGTTCTTTTAAAGCTGACACATTTAATTAACCACCATTCCAACTACTGAAATTCGTGAAGCTGCTAATCATTCACACCCTTCCCAAAATCTGCTGAAGCATACAGTCAAACTGCAGCAGATTAAGACAACTAAATCCCAGTAAATCCAGCCTCTCTTAACAGAAGCCTGCTCCCAACAGTAGACAGCTCCATCATAGTAAAGAGGTCATCTAAGCAGCCCCACAGTAAAGAGATCATCCCAGGCAAAAGTAATATCTTGCTGAAACTTGCATGCTTACACTTGCTAACACAGAACAGCAGCTCTCCAGAGCTCTACAAGCCCAAGGCTACACTGCAGAAGACACAGTCCAAGTGTCACGATAAATAACTGACCAGCTTTATTCTAAAGGCTTCTAATCTGAGATGCTGAGTGCTTCATTCTCACCCTAAGGTCTGCAGTGACAGCTCTTTCAAATTTTAAGAGGAAAATCACTGGCCTTAAAGCTAGCTGAAAGCTGGAGGGATCCACACAGTCCATTGCTAGCAAACACCTCCTCTGCCTCTGGTACGTACAAAGTTGAAATCAGTGGAAACATGGTCAATTCAAACATGCCAAAAAGGCCCCTGCCTCAAAAATTTAAAAAAAAATAAAATAAAAAAAAAATCACATTACACTGTATAGAGTTTTTAATCTGTCTGATGATCAATAATAAGCCTCCTTAGCTTCTTCCCTGTTCCCCTACAATTTCCAGACCTATACTGGGCCTGAAAAAAAGCACCTGAATGAGGCCTGACTTCCTTATGACACTGTTGGACATCAGATTGGATTACCTTTCTTCACACTGCTGAAATTTAACAGCAACATCAACAGCTGGCACCAGTATCAAAGATCAAACTCCATAACCAAGAGAGGCATTCTGATCTAAAATTGCACTGACCACGACATAGCCAACAAGTGTCAACTAGCAGTCTCAAAATCATAACCAGTTAACCAAGTCTTTAGATGTTCTCATCAATGACTGATCTTCACCATTCACCTGGTGAACGGAGGTAGGAAAAACGTCTACAGTTAGCTGAATCTCAAGTCAAGCACTACAACCACCCAGGAGGAGACTGCACTGGCCCCTTGCTCTCAGGTTTAACAGCAAATAGTCGGGCAGTTACACCAAAATCTATTTTAAGTAGCAAGCACTCTTTATGGGCAGTCATTTTCAAAGCACATCCCAAACAGCACTGCTTAGTTCATTTTCAGGTGTCGTTTAAGCTGTTTATCTCCAGTAGAAAAAACCCTAATGAGCAAGACAGGACTGGACCCCACCATTCTCTGATTCTTGTGCTGCCTATGGAGCCAAATTGCAGTGGACAGACCATCTCCAGGTCTCCTTCTCCAACATGAAGGTGAATCCAACAGAAGGGCTTTTTCTAGCTGTTCTGACAGTGCTAAGACATTCACAGCCTGCAACAATAATACAAGAATACTCCTTAGTTCAGTTTTCCTTTAGGACAGTCCACTGCTATGATCTGAAGCAGACATCTGCTAAAAGAAATCAAGGATGATGCAGGCCAGACTAGCTGATCCTTTCTAAAGCTACAAAATTAGGAAAAGTCTTTCATGAGCCAAAGAGAATTTCTTCTGTTGTTGACACTTTGTTCAGAGTGAAAAATATAAAGTTTCTAGACAGAAGGTACAACAGACTTTTTAACTACTACTGGCAAGGGGAGAGAAGATACAGAATAAATATAAAACCTCACATTTATTCTTCAGTCTGAAAATTTATTCCACTGAAATCTCACATTCTTAAGATCAGTTGGATCTTCACTGACATAGTTCACTACTCCTCTGCATCCCTTTCAGCATCTAAAAAAAAAAAAAGCCTTACATAACAATGTTCTCGTGATCATTTTTCTGACTCAAAATATGAAGCAGATTTCTTCACAACAATATCTACTTAAGTTTTCAACTATTCAATGTTTCAGATCTTTTCCACTTTATAAATGACGATGGGATCTCTTCTTCACAGGGCACATGTGCTAGCATTAGGAACAATGTGAAGTCAGATACCCCCTCTAAGCCTTTTTTTATCATTAAGTTTTTGAAAAAACTTCTAACACACCACAACTTCATACTTTTTAAGCATTTCTTACCTTTATGACTTGTCTATACCCTCCAGATAGAAGAAGAAAGCAAGCAGTCACATGACACCAGGACAGTATGAAGGGGAGAAGCCTCGTTCCTGAAGGCAGATCAAACATCTTTCTCTTGGAGCCACTGAGAAGTGCTAGTTGCTGTGATTTATGCTATAGCCAGAGGGCCACTCTTGTCAGTTACAGAAAAAACAACAAACCCTAACCAATATAAGGACACCTGCAATCCTTCAGACTGACTCAGTCTTCAAACACAGTAAAACTCAAGCACAGACTTCCTAATTACAGAGTACACACATCTGCCACTATCAAAGCAAGCACTGACTGACACAACCAAAAGAAGATATTCCATATCTGAGAACCAGAAATGTTATAAATCTCTTCAGGTTTGATTCCCTGTCACTCCCCATTTCCAAACAGCATCTGAAAAAAGGGATAAAAGCCCATATTTACTCTTTAAACTTGCCTAGTTGCTTTCTGTCTTTTATACAAGACCAGAAGATGAAGCAGGGAGATAACTAAAGATCATCAGAATGTATACATTTTTATTTCTTTGTATCCAGGATGTTTCTCAGTTCTCCACATTGCCAGAGCATTAGAAACAAAAGCAAACAAAACCCACCTGTGCTGTTCTTAAGGAGCTTTGAAAACATTTGATCAACTTTATATAACCAAACTTTACCCACAAGCTGAATAGCTCCCTAACTATAGCTGGGAGATGAGCCTACCGGCTTCAGCAAAAAGCAGTGCACCATCTCATTTGAAAGACTTGCTATTTAAGCCTGATTTCCTTATGCAATCCTGCTCTTTGAGCTCACCCATCTGTAGACTATTTTCCAAAACAAATTTGAAGACAAATGGCTGAGGTTTAAAAATGCAACAACAAAATAAGCCTTGTTCCTCAAATGCTGGAAAACAGGCAAACAGTTACAGGAAAAATAACAGCATGAGAGACCCCATCAGGAAAGCCTCTCTGATCTCCTGCCTGATTACTGACTGGGGAATTCATGCTAGAGAGTCCTTCCAAAAAGCTTAGAAAAAACCTCCAGCAGAGCAACATCCGCACTTGTCACACACCACAGCCACTTTACAAGCTTATACTGAAATACATTTAATTATTTGCTCAAATGTAGTAATGAGTCACAGTAGGTTGGGCATTTGGGTATCCTATTCCTGAAACTGTCCAGTAAAAATAAAAATCCAAATCACAACAAGTACACTTCAGAGGGCTCAGAGCTGCAGGCAGGCAGGCTCTCCTGGCTACAAGGCAGCCAATGCAGGAGCTCAGCAGCAACCACATCACTGCTCCTGCTCTTCCCTACTTTACCTTTTCAGAGTTCTACTACCGATAGATTCACCAATGTATAATCGCTCCTTAGTCTTAATTCTCAAAATTTGTCACTTGTGAAAATTTAAAGTTTCCTTAGCTCTAGCTTAGAACTAACCCTGATGGTGGTCCTACTTTAACCAGGGAGGAGGGACTTTCTACTGGATGCCATCAGAGATCCAACACATGATGAATTTTCTCAGAAATG